GGCCCCTTGATTATTCAGGAGTGTATTATTTAATTTCCATGTGTTTATGAAGTTTTTGCAGTTTCTTTTGTTATTAATTTCCAGTTTCATGGCACTATGATCAGGTAATATGCATAGGAGAATTTTGATTCTTTTGTATTTACTTAAGCATGTTTTATGGTGTATTTTTAAGAATGTCCCGTGTGAAGCTGAGAATGTGAATTCTGATGTTGCTGTGTGAAATGTCTACTAAGTTCATTTGTTCACAGGTTTGATTCAGTTCTGTTAGTTCTTTGCTGATTTTTTTATCTAGTTGATCTGTCATTATATCAATGGAGGTTAAGGTCTCTTGTTGTAATTGTTATTGTTTATTTGATTTTTCATGTCTATTAATATTTGTTTTATATAGCTGGGTGCATATATATTTAAGATTGTTATCTTTTTTAATTATCTCTTATTTTTGAAATTTTCCCCAAACCAGTATGTAGTTACCTTCTTTATCTCTTTTGATCTTTCTTGATTTTCAAACTTCATTTTACATTGTCTGCAAACAGAAAGCTACTCTTGCTTCTTTTGGAGGGGTTCTTGTTGCATGAAGTATTGTTTTCCATCCTTTGACTTTCAGTCTATGAATTTCCTTTTGAGTTATATGAGTTTCTTGTATATAGAATATGATTGGATGTTGTTTCTTGATCTATTCTGCCAGTATATTTCTTTTAATTGGTGAATTGAGGCCATTTACATTAATGGTTATAAATGATATATATTACCTTATTTTTGTCATGTCATGTCATTTTTGTCACTTTTTATTGTTGGTTCTTTACTTTTCTCCTCTGTTTAATTATTTGGCCTGCTTAGTGGTTTTATTTTGTTGGTATTCCTGAAATTTCAGTCATTTTTATGTCTATCTAGAATATCTTTCAGTGCTCTTTATAGGGTTGGTTTGGTGGTCATGAAGTTCTTCGGTTGTTCTTTGTCATGAAAGTATCTTGTTTCTCCATTGATTTTGAAAGATAGTTTTGTGGGGTACCTCCATCTGGGTTGGAAGATGTTTTCTTTTAGGATTTGAAACACTTCACTCATGCTCTTATTGGTTTGACTGTTTGTGTTGAGAAGTCTACAGTCTGCTGTAATTCTGATGGGCTTTCCTTTATAGGTAGTTCATTTCTTTTCCCTAACAGAATTTTTTTTTAAAATCTTTTTGAGACAGAGTCTCACTATGCAGTGCCAGCTGAACTTGAGCTCACTTTGTAGCCCAGGCTGATCTCAAATTTGCAAACAATTCTCCTGCCTCAGCCTCCCAAGTGCTGAGATTACAGGAGTGTACCACCATGCCTGGCTTTCTCTTATGGCTTTTGATATTCTGTTCTTATATTTAATTTCTTGGATATTGATTATTATATGCCTGTGTGTAGATTTATTTTGGTTACGGCTAACTGGGGGTCTGTATTCTTCACTTGTCTGTGTATCAGTTTCCGTTCCCATGTTTGGGAAGTTTTTTGCTATTACTTATGTGAGTAGTTTTTTTTAAAAGATAATTTATGTTGCCACCTTCCTTTTCATTTACACCTATCATCTTATATTGTTTTTCTTTGCATTATGTCTGTTGAATTGTTATTTCCTGATTCCTTGATACTTTTAAAAGCTCTTTCCTTTCCTATTCACTAGCTGTAATCTTGTATTCAAGGTCTGAAAGTCAATCTTCACATTCATTCAAGTGGTTTTGCCAGCTTTCAATGGCATTTTTAATTTCCTAGAGATCTCTTTGCATCTGTTTCATGCATTCTAATTCTTTCTTAAATTGTTCGTTCAAGGTTTCCATCATTTTCCAGTGCTCCTCTATTTTTAACTATGTCTTCTTTACGTGCATTCAGCATTTCTTTTATTATGTTTACCATTTCTTGTTTTATGTGGGAGATTATTTCTGATCTGGCTTCCTTTACAGCTTTATGGAGTTGTTTCTTTACTTCAGTTGCTGTCCTTTCAGAAATTTTAGGTGTGTGACTTACACTTTCTTATATGTGCATGTCTGATAGAGTTGTTTGGGATGGGCTGGAGGTTTGAGATTGCATTTTGCTCTGTCATTGTGTCATTTTCCTGTATTTTCCTGGGCCAGCTGAATACGAAGTCTCAGTTGCTTCCTCTTGAGGATGGCTGTCCATGTTGGAGGGGTCTTCCTCAGCTGAGTGGGGGTCATTAGGCAGGCCTTACCAGGTTCTGAGCAGCTCTCACAGGATTTCCAGATGGGTGGAATGCACTGAGCAGATCTTCAGCAGGCCCTACAAGGCACACTGAGGCTCCCCAGCTGCCAGGGGAAACTTGGTGTGGGCCAACCAGGTCCCGAGTGATGCACCAATGCTCGCCTGGGTCTTTTTTCCCCTTCGATAGAGGTATAAACACCAGTTCCAAACTGAAATGTACTTCATTTCTTAGAGCACACACATGTTGCTCTTGAGTGAACCTTAAGTCTGTCTAATAACCCCTTCCCGAACCTTACCGATGCATCCTAAAAATTCTTTTTCTCTACCAAATGTCAGAAAACCTGTCACAAAAGGCTGTTAAATTCTTTATCTCAGCTTCAGGATTCCCTGACCCAGCTTGGTAACACACCCACATAACCCAATAGACAGGGCTAGACCCTAGCTTCAAAGTTACATAATTTGGGGACCTTAAGAGAATATAAATATAACTTTTACAAATTTTAAAAAAAAATTTTGCGGGGCTGGGGATTTAGCTCAGCGGCATAAGCGCCTGCCTTGCAAGCAGGCAGTCGTGAGTTCGATCCCTGGTACGGATAAAAACGAAAAAGACAAAAAAAAAATTTTTTTTAAAAAAATTTTGCACACATATTTCAGGTCCCTTTCAGGACTTTGGAAAGCTGTAGGCAAATCTAATTCAAATTCCCAGAGGTAGGGGATAGGAGACTGCTTAATAGTGTAGAGTTAAGGAGGCCTTTAGCAGTCTAAACTGAAAACAGAATTTCAATCAGAAAGACACGGACCTTCACTCCTAGAAGGTACCAACAAGTTCTAAGTCTTTTAGGGGGCTGGGTACTATACGATCATTGCCTAGCTTTTCTCGTTCCTAGCTTAGTTTCCAGATTTCTTGAGTTTACCTAATCAGTTTTTGTTTGTCCATCAGCTCCCCATATTCTGCTATTGCTGCTATTGCTGCTCTCTCTCCACCATTCTTATTTTTTCTTTGTGACATTTTTTTAAAAGTGCCCAATCATTTTAAGAGTTTCAGAAAGGTGCAGAGGAAAACATTCAACCTGCCATTCTTAACTCCAAGATTGAATACGCTAAGTCACACTCCAAAACTGTCCTAATCAGGGCAGTTTCACTATAAGCAGCACCCACACACTCTTTACAAATTCCATTGTGTCAAAATCTCTCAGGCTGGTTAAACCAGTTCACTACCTTAATTTGCATTTTCCTAATCAAAAATGAGGTTCAGCATTATTTTGTTTACTGGTCTTATTTGTTTCATCTTGGATGAATAATCTGTTCATATAATTAGGCCACTTTAATAAGTAGTGAGGGAGATCAGAACATGTTCCTTTGGCATATTGACTGAATTAAAGGCAAATAAGCCAAAGCTGGTACATAAGGCCTCTTTGATATCCCACTTTTGTTCCTAACAGCAGAACACAAAATTTCTCAGATGTCCTTCTTCATGCCAGGTAAACAATGTTGTCATCACTGAGATGGGGAATCAGCACTAAGTTGAATCTGTAGAACAAAGTTACTTTGGTGGTCAGTCTCGGTTGTTAATTTGACTGGACTAAGAGCTGCCTAGAAAACTGGTGAAGCACAATTCTGGTTTGTCCATGTGGATGTGTCCAGACAACTGGCATGTGGGTATTCAGCATATCAAGGTAGAAGGTCTGCCTGACTGTGGGTAGCACTGTGCCATGGCTTGGGTTCAGCCTGGAACAAAAAGCTAAAAGAAACTTGCACTCATCCTCCATCCTGAGCATTTTTTGCATAGATACCGGACTCCAGATTCTCTAGCCTTTGAGTGTGAACCCCCCAAGAGGCCAGTCTCCACCTTGAGCCTGTCTTGGCCGCATCACTGGTCCTTGTTGCTCTGAGGTTCCCAGCCTGAGCTGAGCAGCTATGGTTTCCTTGGTTCTCCAGGCTGCAGCCAACACAATGTGGGACTTCCACTCTTGACTACATGAGCCAATCTAATAAATCTAATTGACTTTTTATCTGAATATACCTATCAACACACCATCTTCCATTCTTTTCCTATTCTCTTTCCCAATTCACTATCCCTACCTAGCCAAAATTCTGTTTTGCTATCTTACCAGTTTTCTTAATTTATCACTCTTTGTTGAAATGGCATATAAGCTATCAGGCTGCTTCCTTCTGTGGGTCATTTTACATGAAGTTTTCTGTGTGTATGTAAAAATTGTACACTTTCCCTTAATTTGTCTTTTCACAGTGCAATATTCAAGGTCCAGCCACAAAGCCTAGGAGAGGTAAGGCAGGATTTTTTTCCTCCCCTTAAAGCAGTTGACCTTTTTCATATTGATTTGTAGGCATTCTTCACGCTTGCTTTTTCTTTTATTATATAAGTTGTATTATCTTCTAGTATCTCTTTTATGGCATCTAAATTCTAAGACATTAATTTCATTTTAATTGACTTTTGTTTCTGTATCAATCAGATCTTCCCTATTTTAAGGGATACGTGAGTTTTCTTTCAGTACACAAACAGTTCCAGTTTTCACATTTATGTGTTTAGGTGTTTAATCCATTTGGAATTTATTTTTATAACGGCACAAGCCTTTTGTTCCTACATCAAAAAGTGTCATATTTATTGAATAGCCCATATTTTATCCACTGATTTTGAAATACCTTATTAAGCACTGATGGTTTATTAGGTGTTCTGAGTTCTGTATTATTTCCCATAGATTTGACATTTACTGTTATGAATACTTCAAAACTGCATCTCATACAGAAAATATCCTTATAGTAAATAGAAATCTGTTATTATAGAAAGCACAAGTCAAAGACTGAAAGAAATGTCCATTTTAATATTTATCACACAAGTGTTTATACTTATTTGAAATAGGAGGACAATTTGTGCATGTCACATTCATATTACTATCCATATAACACATACACAATCAACTACATTAGGACAACATACAGGGTTTTCAGCTTCTCAGTTAAAAGGAGACATTACATAAGGAAAAATCAAAATCCAAAGATTATTAACAATGTTATTCTAAATGTCTTACATTTTGACAACTCTGACTTACACTTACATACTAATATTTCCAAAAATCATAAATTATAACAAGGGTCACTGTCAGGGTTAAAATATGTATTTAAAAGTTGTTTTTAAATGTTAAGCTTTAGCATCTTTTGATTTATTCTTGGCACATGTGGCATCTGGGAAAGTAAAGATACACTTTGCCAATTTTAAGTGTTGTGCAGACCAGGAAAAGACAGTGTAGGGGCAAACAGACTTGTGTTCAGGTACCAGCTTTCTCCCCAGTCCCATTGTATGAGGCTGGTTTATTATGTCTTGGTGCTGGGACAAGGACTACATTAAACAATGCATATTCAAAATGTGCAACATGGGTACTCAATGAGTCATATCCCCCCATTTATTTTCATTGTATTCACATGGTAGCAACAGCAAGACATCACAGTCTTACACTGGATAATTTGAAAAATTGAAAAAAAGGGGAATTAAAAATGTTAGCATGTTCCGAAAAAATTGCACTTTTAATAAATAAGGAAATCCCTCAGCAGGAGTCAATAGTTCCTAATAAAACTTAATGCCTACTATACCCTGATTTTTTAAAAAAAATTTCTAAAATATGATAAAATGGTCAGTGGTTAAGGACTTTTGGTTTTCTTTTGTGCTACTGATATAAAAATAATGGCTATATTTAAGGCTCATTAAGTGACTGTAATTGCCCTGAACCAAATTTATACTCTGGATGTTGCACTATCAGTATGAAACCGACCAGCTGCCTTAAGTGACCATCCCAGAGAATTCCATGGATTCTGTATTTGAACCAATCATGGCCTGATTCTAAGTTTCACTTGGTGGCAGGTGGCAGTTCAGCATGTCATTAAGGATGACTTGTATACACAATCACAAGCCAATCTTTCTCGTGTTGAATACATGGTGCTTGGAACAACTGGGATTCCTAAATTTTATGTCACAAGGAATAAACTACTCTACACAGAAATTCTCAATTCACTATCCTTGGGTCTTCTTGTGCCTTCCCTGACACTGAACAAATCATTCTTCAATCTCTGACTCAAAAGCTCCTCCAGAATATTTTCTCTAACCAAACTTCACACCCATCCCTTTATGCACCTTACACTCATGTATTTTTTATATTAAACTCTATTTGCATATATAACCATTCATGTTTTGTGTGCCTTCAACTTCCAGCTACAGTGTCTCTTACTTCTGAAGTTTCCACAGTGTTTATCGCAGTGCTGTGCAGGTAATATGTGGCTATGAGTATGTATGTGGGGTGTGTATGTGCGTGTTTTTTCACTAAATGAATTTTAAAAACCTAAAGAATCTAGGTGTCTACAAGGTAGAAAAAGTTACATAATTTGACAGAAATCAAAATTGTTGGACCTTCCTAATACTGAAAGATCTAATTTCCAAAGCTATATCATTTGGTCTTAGACATGTCAATAGAAAAGTAGTGAAAAACTGTTTAAAAAACCTTTATGAAATATTGCAAAAAGAATTTTAAATAATTATTAAGAGCACCAACCCAAAACATTTTACTAAATAGTAATTTAAATTTTCCTATGATTTTATGAATGTAGACTTGTTTTCATTTAAGACAAAGAATACTGAACAGGAAGAGGTGTTGTGAATCAGGATAAGAAAGGCATTTCATTCTAGGTCAATATTTAATGCACGCTTTGCAATTAATTTGAAAATCCTTTTGTGATACATATATATGCTAAGTAAAAGAATGGTTTATATCAAGGTGTTGTAGACCACTATATGTTTGTAAAACATGACACAATACTGAAGTTGCTATTTAACAAGAGAAATTTTGTTTACAGTAATTGTTAATATTAAAATAGGATATAATAAAAAATTATTCTCAATGTGTATATTTTCAAATTTGCCTGACAGTGTCCTTTTGAGAAGTCTGACCATTTGTAGTTAGATTACATATATCTGAATTTTACTTTTAGCACTGAAAATATTACATAATAATAGACAACAATATATAGCTTTTTACTGAAGCATTCTGCAATTTATATTTAAAGCTTTGCAATAAAACAAAATTTATTATACTTTTCATGAGTTAAATTACACAGTGTATATATCTATATATTTGCTATATTACATAAATAATAAATAAATTAAAGGGAGCATTAAAGAGAACCATACTATGGGATGATTTACCTGTCACCATAAATATTAATCTGTTAGTACTGAGTTTGTAATGTGTGTCTTAAACTCAAGGAACTTTCTCTTTAAATAATAAAATGAAAAAACTGAGTTTAGAATACAAGCATAAAACTCCGTATCTGTTTTTTTCCTAGGTGAACTAGGAAATGAGAAAAGTGAGGAAGGAAAATTCTTTCTCTTGCTATAAAATGCCTTCTTGCTTTTCTATATACTCTTAGGGCATTTTTAGAGCAAATATTACAAAATGACAGTTTTGGCAAATTATATATAAGCTTATTTAAATGGTTTATTACTTGAAAGAAAGAAAAAACTGTAAGACTTTCTCTTTTTTGGCTTATTATTCGCAATCTTTTCTCTCTAACACTCAGTAGTGCTATAAAAGCACTTCTTGAAATCCTCATGTTAACTATTTTAAACAGCACAAAATGAACCAGGTTAACATAGGGTTAATCAAAACAAGAGTGCCTGTGTAGATCCTAGGGTGAGCTCCTAGAATTTGTCACACGTAGAGCTAAACTCGCAAGGGATCGCATTGCAAAAGTAGACACTTTGTGACATATGCCAGCTTTTGAAATGTAGTTAGAAGCCAATCGAAACAGCCTTTCTGCACCAAAGGTATTGAAGTGGCCAGGAAGCACCTTCTCCACCAGGCCTCTGTCCACTAACTCTATCAGACGCTCACAAGTGCCCACATAGTCGCTTATCCTGCTGTACGGGAGCCAGTCAATCAGGGACCCGTCATAGACCACGTCCCCACTGAAGAGAATCTTCCGATCTTTGTCATGTAAGCAAATGCTGCCCCTTGAGTGGCCAGGCATGTGCATGACGGTGAGCTGTCTGTCGCCGAGGTTGAGCACGTCCCCTACAGATGGAAACAGAGTTCACGGATAAATACAGTGCATACTCGATTCCAATCACTTAAACAACAGAAATCTGTTTAATGGTTCAAAGAAATTAGGAAGGAGATACTCATTTTATTCTGAAAATAGTAAATTTCTTAACAATGACTTAAAAACAAGCAGCTTGTATTTCATTTTATTTGCTAGGCCAATGTTTGTCAAAGTGAATAATGTAGAACACTTACGTACTGTTAGGGTTATTAAACAAATAGATTAAATTTTGGGAACTCTTGCTTCAAAGAAAATTAACAGCTTACTTCTCTGCAAGACTCCTGAGAGCTTTTAAAATAACAATGGATATTGTAGATGTATACAAGATAAACATAGTTGCACAATTTTGCAAATTTACTTTTAGAACATCCATTTTCCCACTATCCCATTGGCAAAATCATGAATGTTGCTCCCATGGTCTGTATCAGATTTTGTGTGTGTTATGTGGCACCGTGGGAAGTAGGGTTCCAGGAAGTGGTACCCGGCATGATGCTCTGGCTATGCTGTTGCTGTAATAAATTATTCTTTGTTTCTGAGCAGGAATCCTCAGTCCTCTGCCAGAACCCACTGAACTGTGGTAGCTACTTTGCTAACTTTTAAGCAGGACAAAATCTCTGGCTCATAAAAGTTACTGACAATGCAGAGGAAACGGAGCTGCATGCATGAAAAACTGCTCAGTTTCACTGGAATTAAACCAGCCTAACTTTAAGTAAAGAAAGAGGTGCACTGTAATCTCCAGTGCAAACACACCATTGCAAGAAAATAAAAATGTCTATAGTTCAAATGTTGATAGATGAGACTGGGGGTATTGCCCAGTAGTACAGCATTTATCTAGCATGCCCAAAGCCCAGGTCAAATACCCAGCAATGAAAAGAGAAAGAAAAAAAAAAAGAAAATTATTAGAGGAATTAAATAAATGTATAATAATCAGGATTTACAAATCAAATGAAAAAATAAAGAATTATAGAAAGATAAAAACAAAGAAATGAGATATAACAAAACAGCAGATTGAAATCCAACTGAATCAATAATTATGTTAAATATGAATGAGATAAACACTGATCACAAATTGAATTAAAAATATATGAAGAGAAATTACATAATCAAAGACAAAGAGGCTAAAAAATTTATACCAGACAAATATCCACGATAAAGGAACTACAGTGACTATATTAATATAAAAAAGGATTTTACATTAAGTAGACAAAAATTTATAAGTTAGATCAATTAATTTAAAAATGGTAAGTGTATATTCACCTAAAAAAGAACAAGCATGTGAAGGAAAAACTGACATAACTGAAATAAGAATAAAGAACTACATTTGAGAAGTTAAAAATTCCTGAGTAACTCATTAAATAATAGAAAATTAGTAAGGATACAGAAGGCCCCAACAATTCTCATTAACCCACTTGACCTAATGTATTTACTTATAAAATACTGAACTTCAAAATAGGAAAGTTCATTGTTTCTATTCAACAGACTATAAAACCAGTATGTAAAGCAGATTCCAATAAATTCAAAGGAAATAAATCATACAAAGTAAATTATGTGATCAGGGCATAATTAAAATATGAGTAGAAATTGTGTAACTAGAAATAGAATTTGTAATAATTTTAACAAAAAAATAGATAATAAAATTAATGTAGGCATTATACATATATACAATGAATATTATTCCAATTTATAAACTCAAAAGGGAAGTTAGAAAATATTAAAGACGGTTTGCTCTATCTGTACACTGAACATCATTCGTCATTAAGGAAACAGAAGTTAAATCTCCATGAAACACTACTATAATGATAACTAGTATGGCTAAATTCAAAAGGATTGACAAAGCCAAGTGTTGGTAAGGACATGGAGAAAACAGAGGCCTTATAGACTTGTAGGTAGAAACGTGAAATAGTGTAAGTACTTTGGAAAAGTTATGACATAGCCTCTAAAAATTAACACACAATGTAACTCAGGGACGCCATTCCTAAGTAACTACCAAGGAAAATGAAAACCTGTCCCCATAAAGACTTGTATGCAAGCATTTGTGGAAGCATTATTTATAACAGCCTCAAATTGGAAAGATTTAAATTTCCCTCAACAGAGAAAAATGTTCTATCCATAAATTGGAATGTGTCAGGGTTTATATATGGATGCTACCTAAAGCTTCATGTGCTCACAGGTGGGACTTCCAGAAGGTGACTGGTTTGATGCAATATTAAGAGGTGGGCCTGGTTGGACAGGGGGACCAGTAGTGTTGTGACCTGGAAAGGTGTTATCTCCTCTCCCAGTTCCTCCCTCCATTCTCTCTGCTTCCCTTCCACCATGCCATGAGCAGCTCTCCTCCACCATGCCCCTCTGATATCTTCTTTCTCTGGATCCAGTCAATGCTGAATTAAATTGTGAGCCAGAATAAACCTCTCCTCCTTTAAATTGTGGATGTCAGGTGTTTTGTTCCAGCAAGAAGAAAGTGACTGAGACAGAAGTTTCTCACACCCAGAAAGGAACAAATTGTTAATGAATACAACAATGTGGACAAATTCTGAAGCAGTGCCCAATGGGAAGGAGGATGATACAGAAGACAGCACACCTGTCTTGGTTACTTTTCTCTCATTGTTGAGGCAAAATACCTGATACCCAAAATTAGGGAAGGGAAGGTTTATTTATCTTGGTGGTTTCAGTCCATACTCAGCTGGGTCTAAGGCAGGGGGGCATAGCTGAGTGGTTAACTATTGATGGCAGCCACACACAGCAAGAGTGAAAGGGCAGAAGAGAAGAGAAATATGCCTTTTTCCTCCCTTATATTGTATGCTAGCTCCACCATTGGGTGGGTACAGCACTCACACCACCAATCCTAGTGCTAGACAATGAGCCAATTACAAATGCTAGATTCAGCTGCCTCCATGATTGCATGAGGCTGGGGTGGGGGGGCCTAGACATAAACCATAACCCCACCACAAGACTACACTTACAAAAGCTTTTCAGAGAAGCAAAACTATGGTGACACAAAACAGACTATTAAAACTTAGCAACTTAGTATTAGCAACTTATTATTAAAGCTTATTATTAGCAACATAAGAGACCCCACTAGGTCAGGGGTGGGGGGTAGAGATAGTGGGCAAAGGAGCAGGAGGGAACTCTTTCAGGCAATGAAATTCTTTAATCTCAACTGTAGTTATGGTTACATTTACATAAACATTTCCTAAAACTCATCAAACCATGCATTTAATATGGTTGTATTTCATGGTATATAAAACACTCCGTAACAAAGCTGTTAGGAAATAATTAGAAACAATCCAAATATACATCAACTAATGATGAATCAGTAAAATATGAAACATATTCATAAAATGGAATATTTGTCAACAGAGATGAAATCTCTGATCCATCTTCTAATATGGACAAATCTTGAATCACTTTGCTAAGTGAAAGATGTCAAGCACAAGGATCCATACACAATATGGTTCCACTTGAAAGGGTTTTGGCCCAGACAGGACACTGTAGCAGGTAAAGCCAAGGAGCTCCTATTTCCCCCTCCCCGAAGGAATCTACCTCTGGGGCCAAACTAGTGCCAATGGGCTACCTGTGCATCCTTAATGCCCCCTCAGGCACCACCCCAGGGGATCAAAATAAAGGTCATTTACATTTCATACTTCTTATCTTTTCAGCCAGCTGCGGGTCCCCCACAGTTCTATCACCACTTAGGTGAAAGTCCAGAATAGATGAGTCTAGGCTGGGCCGTGGGACACAGAGGTTGGAGAGTGATAGCGGTGGCTAAGTGGCATGGTGAAAACCTTTGGAAGCAGGAGAAACAGTGAGAGTTGGTTGTGGCAACAGATGCACATCTCTGCAGAAATATTAAAAGCCCTGAGCCAGACATGTTAAATGGGTGAATTTTAATAGTTATAAATATAAAATTTCAAATGAACCTGAATATGCTGTTCTTCTGGCTTCTGCTTTGCAACCGCAAAAAATTCACATTCTTTCATCTCTCAATTAAGGAGTAAAGAAATTCCTTGTTACTGAGCATCATAATAAGAAACAACAACAAAAAAAGTACTGTACCATGGGGCTGAGGATTTAGCTGAGCGGCATAAGCACCTGCAGTGTGTGGTGGTGAGTTCAATCCCTGGTACCGATAAAAAAAGAAAAAGACAAAAAAAAAAAAAAAAAAAAGTACCGTACCTAAAGCAGGGACTAAAATTTTACAGTAAACAATGGGAAACAGTTTGGTTGGAATTTCACTTTAAAGAGTACTAAGTTAAACCATTCAACCACTGATTCTTATCAATATACAGCCTTAATGCAATTTAGCTGATAATGTAATCTTGCTCACAGTTCGAAGAATAAATCTACTAATACTGAAGCCTATACTCTGATATTTTCTTCTCATATAGAGACTCATTTGGACAAATGAGGGGCTTCAACAGCTTTCTTAGGGGTCTTTCTAGATACATTGGACTTGTAATGATTTATTTTTGAAGTACATCTCTTCTTTCATCCCTATCATTTTTCCTGCTGTAGTAATTTGCTGGCCAAAGTATGACCTGAGAAGCGCCAGGAGCAGCATCAGCAGTAAGAGCCTTCCAGGTATCGTTCATGTGCATCATAGCCTGAAAAGAAAATCAAGCCTGGATTTTTAGGGCTTGCCCGACAGTACGAATAATCTGTGATCCTGAATCAGTCTCTTAGGGAATTGTGTCTGGAATCTCTATGTTGGACAAGAAACTAAAACAATTCTCATTATTAGCAAACGTGCAAAGCAATGAGTGGTACACCAAAGGTTTTCAAACCTCAGGGGACATCAGAATCACCTGCAGGACATGTTAAACCACAGACTGCTGGGTCCTAACCCTCAGTTTTTGATCTGTTAGATCCAGGGTAGTGTCTGAAGTCAGTGCGGCGTAATTCTCTAAAATATACCAGAGCTCGACTCATGTTACGCAGACACACCATGTCGGAATCACCCAGGTGCTCTGTTAGCAGTAAAGCTTCCTTTTCCCTATACCAATTCTCGTCATCCAAAATTTGGGGTATGAGGGACTAGAAATTATTATTTTTAACAAGCTTCCCAAATAGTTGCTTTTCCACATAGAATTCAGATAACATAGTCATTTCTAATGACTTTTCTAGGTGATGCCAAGCAATGTGTAACCACAGGGCCAAAGGGTCTGAAAGCACTCTAGATCTGCTGGAATCCTGGACAGCAGAGCAAGCAGCTCATCCACCCTGGGGAACAGAAACCTATTTCAGGGCAAAGAAACAGCTTTATTTGTTACTTCCTCCTATCTTGTCTCCAGTCCCAGAAATGACATAAAGAGTCCATCAGCTGCCCCCAGCTTTCTCCATAATCTATTGTACCTGACCACAATTCTGATATGGGATAATTAATTCAGATTGAAAGTCTCTCTCTGGATTAAAAACCATTGTCGTTTATTGTATGATTTTTAGGGAAGGCAAATAAGTTACTGCTAAGTTAATTTACTAACAGAGCTTAAACTTGCAATCCTCCTGCCTTCACTTACCAGAGTGCTGGGATTACAAGTGTGTGCCACCTTGCCTAGCCAACTGGTTTACCAGTTAGATATACTCCTTTTTTTTTTGTACTGGGAAATGGAACTCATGACCTCATGCTTGCCAGGTAGGCACTGTGCTGCTGAGTAGATTCCCAGTCCTTGATTTCTGAGAGGGATTTTTAGCCTTTTCTGCCCTCACTCTCAAAAGAACACTGTTACACACACAATAGATCCATTTCTCATCCTTACCATCTGCCCACCCAAATAAATCACATTTCAGGCCTTCTACTCCAGAGCTCAATGTTTGGCTACCACTGTTGTCAGAATGTCACCTATTATATCATGGTGATGCTTTATTTTGCTTTGCTTTTCATTAGATGCCTTCCTTGTTCTTGGTTTACCCCCTTATTTTGAAGGGGCATATTCTGGGGGTTTCCTAAGTAACTGTATTTGGGGAATAATTTTCTGTTAACTTAAATCACTCTAGAGTTTGAGACCAGGAATAATTATCACTCAAAGGCGAAATCTCTTCTAGCTCCAAAGTCATTCTGATCTGAATACACAATATTTTTAAATTTTTAGAAATTTGTGCAGTGTCCTTTGATGCCAATACTCTGAAATTTTACAGCAATGTTCACTAATTTATGTTCATTCATTTGACTGGGAACTTTGTGGTATTTGTTGTGATGGGTAAGTTTAAAATGTCAACTTGACTGGCTTGGGAGATTGGCTTGGGGACATGTGGGACCCCAAATGCTGTGTCTGGTGGGTTATAAAGGCAGGACTTTCAGTACAATATGTGCTCCCTTTCTCTTGGCCAATATTCCCTTGCTCTCCCCTTTGGCTGTATGAACCACTCATCTTTGCTACACCAGGCCCTTCCTCCATGATGTTTTTGCCTTGCAGCCAGGTAACCATGGACTGAATTCCCTGAAAATGTGAGCCAAATTAAACCTCTCCTCCTTTAGATGTTGGGTATTGCAGCCATGCGAAAGCTGATACTCGTCTTATGTCCCTGGATGATATAGATGGTAGTCCCTCGTTCTCAGGTTACTTCATGCCAATGACAGCAAATTTTTTAGACCTTTCAGTGACACAAAGAGCCTGCTATAGCTTGTGCGCCATATCTTTACCACCACCGCTTTATGCTATTTGCTTTAATATTTGATCACGTTAGAGGATTTTCTCAGATTTTTCACAATCCTTGCTTTCCAGTTGAAGAGCAGGGGATCAGAATGCTGCTGGAAGCACATGCAGGGCACCTAGTGAAGTACGCTTGATGGAGAGACCAGCCGGGGGTTACCTAGGGAGCCTCTACACAGGAGTACCTTACAGTCCTTCCTCTAGGGGTCAGATAGATTCCCCAGATAAGAACTTTCTGATTTCCTTTCCTGGAAGGTAAAGGCTCTCAAACTCCTAGATTTCTAGGAAATACACTTTTTCTTCTTCCTATTTTCCTTACAGACTCCCTGAGCTCAAGAGTGTCCAGCCTCTTGCAATCAAGAAATCACTGTATTTTATTCTCCTCAGATAATAGAAAACTAGCTAGGGGAGAGGTCTTCACTTAAAGAGAGACTTCCTAGCATTCCAGCAACTTCTTGAAGTGCTTATGGCCAATTCTGCTTATTTTAATATTCTTTTTGACCCCACTGAGGTACCAACTGCTGCTAATTCCTAAGGCTTTTAAGGATAAATTGTTTTGGATCTTGATTTATTAGCACAGTATAAAACTGCTAATTCAGTCACCATATGTACTTTCTAGCACCCAAAATAATCATCTCAGCCAATGGGAATTTATACTTAAACCTCAGTCTCTTAAGAGTATTAGTGGGGCTTTGGGAAACAACCAAATGAACTAATTTTCTGGCATCTCTTTTTTATTTTAAACCTGCAAATGACTTAAGTCTACCTGAAACAACTTCTGGAAGACAACATCTTGCTGCCTCTGGGCAAACTGTTCAAACATGGATAATGGGTGCAAAAATGTGATAACTTGAACATTCAAATATTATGAAAAGTAGGCAAAAAATGACACATGGCCATCCATATGTACTTTATTTAAGGTCTATGCTGCCTTTTTATATAAAGACACTAGTTCACTATTAATAAGGCATGTTGTTCTTCATTAAAGACAACGAAGAAGGGCTATTCATTCCTTGTTCTCCTTGTTTCAAATCAGCTCCTGGATTACAGATACAGTGCACAGATTTATGCTTCTCCGTGACAAGTGATCATCAATCACTAAATGAAATGTAGTAGTGGTTCCAGTCACCTTGTGTTGTAACCAAAACAATGATGGCTTTATGCTGCTAGGGATGCACTGAGCCTGTGTGTATGCAACCGTAAGTGAATTTTTAATATAAATAGTTTATATCACCTTCCAAGTATCAAGATTATGTTAATAGTGTGTTAGCAGGCCACACTGTTCAGAAGACACAGGAAATTAATATTTCTGAAAAGTCAGGAAATTGGATGCTACTTTAAAGGGTGACATATTCGAGCCCTAATGAAAAGCACTTTGATAACACAGTACTATAACCTTTAAGTGCTTTGTAAATATGAAGCTTTCTTTTCACACCTTCAGAGGCATACACATAGGTGCCTGCAGGGACTGTAGAACTCAAAAATGTTAGGACTCTCCCATCAGCTGGGATAGAGGAAGCCTGGTTTTCAAACCAGTTTCTTCTCAGGCTCTATGGCCTCAGTATAAAACCATAATCCCTATTATTTTACCCTGATTTCCCACTGCTGGCACAGAATCGAAAGTCAAAAACAACTTTTTTATTTCAACAACTGAAATATTAAAGATATTTTGGCCTGGTGCCAGAACTAAGTTTGAATCATCAACTGCATGAAATTATTACCTCTAAAAGTATCAATTTTATCAAGAAATATAATCAAAAGTATAGTTAATGTAAATGTATTTTTAAAGTTCCATATTGTAAGCTAATATAAAATTCTCAACTAAAAGTTTTTTCCTAAAAGTTTTAATCTTTAGGTTTAACAACTTAATGAAGAGATGGGTGGGGGATGAGACACAGAATTACAATATTTTAGTCATCATACATGATCAAGATCTCATCTGGAAGGTAAATTAGTTTCTGAAATATATTTGCTATAATGTTTAGTCCTATAGTGAGTTTCACTGTACTGCACAAACTTTTTACCCTTACATATTTTGATAAATGAAATTGGCAACTAAACCAAGTAAAGGAGAAAGGAAGAGGCTTTCACAGCCTATTCAAAATTATCATCATATATTTCTGCACCGGATTTCTGTGTGCTCTATATGCTTTGTTCAAACCTGAGGTTTATGTTCCGTGGACTCCAGACAACGCATTTGATTGGAAGTCAGTAGCCTTATTTCAAATGCACTGAGTATAAAACAAAATAAAAAGCATTCAAAATAGGAAATCAATATACCAAATAACGTTGCCGTGGCTAATTAGCTCAATTAAGTTCCTGATGGAAAGAGGATTGGAACCTTACTCTACTTTGTTTTATTCCATGTTTTTCCCTCCTCTGAACTGCATCCTGTCTTCACCTCCACCGGAAATACCCACCCTCATTTTTCTCAGGCTTTGCTTTTAACTAAGTATCTATCAGAACAGAAGACAGACAGGTTCGTGGTCGCTGTCAGGCTTTTCCTCTTGTGGAGCACCGTCAGGAAAACAGGCCCACCTGAACAGCTGAACGAACGCCTGGACTGCAACCCCAGTGAGCTTGCCTTCCATAGCCTACAGGTGGGAACCGCTGGCACCAGCGCCGACGGAGGGAAGCGTAGCTCTCAAAAGTCAGAGCCAGACCCGCACGCTGCCCAAGCCTTTAAAATCTACTGGCTACCAAAGCGCCTGGAAATGCCAGCCAGGCGCAGGGAAAACCGGGAATTCCAGATCCCAAGCTTCTGTAGTGTCACTACAGCAAAGCAAACAGAAAACTGACTGGGGGTCGTGCGGGTTTTCTACCCAAGCCCTTAGCCGCTACACCGTTCTGAGGCTGTCTCTCGGCACAGAAGGCAGTGGCGGGGGCCTCGGCTGGGCCCGAGTGGGCTTCTGCTCAGGGCAAGGTGAGGCAGAAGTGCTGTTTCCGCGATGCATCACGAGAAACCCACCGCGGTTACGCAGATCTGCAACGCGCAGCCCCGGAGAGTCCCTTCCCATCCCCTCCCTCGGCGACAGCGCGCCCCCTGAGGCTCCTTACCATCCTGCAGCACCAGGGTGGGCTGCACCGCCTGCACGCGAAACTGCCTGGCCCTCCAGCCGGGGCTCGGCGCCCGCACCACCTCACTGTCCGACAGCCAGGTCACCGTCTCAAAGTTGTCCCCCCGAGCCAGGGCTTCGGCCTCAGCGTGGTGCACGGCCACCTGGTCGAACTGGTAGAGCCCTCCTGCGTGGTCGAAGTGCACGTGGGTGGCCACTGCCAGCAGCGGCCGGCGCGGCGCGTCCTCCTTGGGCCCGCGGTCCTGCAACAGGCCGGACGAGTACAGGTATTCGGGGAGGCTGCGCAGCCCCAGGCCCGTGTCGATCACCAGGTCCTGCTCCGACCCGCGCACCAGCCAGATGTTGGCACGGTTGCCCGACTCGTAGAAGCGTTCCTGGATCCAAAAGATGCCATCGCCCAGGGATTTGTGGGCGTACCACTCAAGCGCCGACATGCTGGGTAGGGGTGAGGCCGGGCGCGCGTACCTCCTACCGGCGGTCCAGACCCGAGCCGCTGCGGTTGCGTGCGGCTCTGAGCCTGCAGCCCAGGAGGAGGCGCAGCGTGGGGGGCGGGGCCTCGAGGGCGGGGCCGGTTAGGGAGGGGAGGGATGCGCGCAGGTAGCGCAGCTCTGCGCATGCGTTGTGCTCGCTCCCGCCAGAGCCGCAGAGAGCTGAGGCTGCGTCAGCGCGCCGGCGAGCTTGAGCGCGGTGGTCTCTGCAGCTGACTGGAAACTCGGAAGGCCGCACTTTCCCCACGCAGGGGTCCAACTGTAGAAGCCGGAGCACAGCGTAGCAGGCGCCAGGCCCGCCCCAACTGACTGGCGGGGATGCGCACTCCCAGCCAGCTCAAAAAGAGTGGGGCCTGGAGCTTCGGGCTAGGATTACGGCGCCTGCCAAGGGCTAAAAAGCGCTCGGTCCAGGGGGTGGGGCCTAGGTCCGGGGGCGGGGCCTATCTGCGGGGCGGAGCCGGCCGGCTGAGTGCTAGCTCCCCGGCCGCGTGGAGGACGGTCACGTGTCTGCCAGGTGCGGCTCGACCCCCGAGCACCGGTGCTCTCTCCCCGGCTGCCCTGCTGGCCCTTGGTTTGCACAGCTTTTGCCCGAGCCTGGAGACTTAGTGAGCAGGTAACGGGGGCCTTGAAGGGAGGGGATGCCGAGGGTAGAGGAGAGTTAGAGGGGCGCTGGAGGGGAATGGGGGGAAAACGGGGAACAGGTGGAGAGACCTTAAAGCGTAACGTTGTAGAGTCGATTCCACGTCTTGCACAGTATGTTCTTCCTGAGAGCCGTGAGTTAGAAGGGAATCGAGGCGCTCCCTGCTCGTCGGACTTTACATACCCTTGGCTTTACGGTTGCTTCAGGCGTTGCCATTGCCGCAGACGGCAGCTGGGGACACACCGGTCGTCAGTTTTTTGAGGATTGGCGTTTTACCCTGAATCATAGGGAGCAAGGATGCTGATTATGGCGTGTCTTTTCAAAGACATGCAATTCTGCAACTCTTTCCCTTTAGGAGAGTTCTTTGGTCTTGCAGCGAAGTAAAAAAAGTGAGTGGGAACGATGCAGCCCCCTGAGACAGGGAGCGGTGGGTAATGACTGGGTGTGGCCCGCCGCCCCACCCATCTCCTCACTTAGGACCTGGAATCCCATCCCTTCTGTTCCCCTCCTCCTGGGGATTGGCACGTCTGATTAGGGATCACTGAAGCCTCAGTAATTCCCTTAAGAACTTGACTAATCTCCCTCCTTAGCCCGGAGACATTATAAAGAGACCCGAGAGACAACGTTGTAAAAGATAGTTGGGCAGACCTGTGGCGACTGGTAATAATGCTTCATGGCAAGGAAGGTACCCTCCTCCACTACTGAAGTCTAGGGACGGTGTCGCCTGTGTGTTTTGCCTATGTGGGGGCTATGCACTTACCCCACAGAAGGCTACTCTGAAGCACAAGTTCCTGAGATAGATGATACATGAAGAACAGAACTTTAAAAAAAAAAAAAAGCAATGATGAGGATTCTCAAAACATTGAAGACATTTAAACCGGGTTTGATGGTGCAAGCCTGAAATCCCAGCACTCAGGAGATTGAGGGTGGAGGCCCCCAGCTAGTTTGAGGTCAGCCTGGGCTGCATGGTGAGTTTAGTGCCCATTTGAGCTACCCTGCAAAGAGATCCTGTCTCCAAATAAAGAAACAATTTGAGGGAAGTTAATACCTGTAGTGTAAGACAATAGGGATGCCAACTGAGAGGAGGTAAAGTAAGGTGCTGTAAGGGGATGGGAGGAATTTTTGAGGAGCGGTATTTTGCTAATTGTACAAAATAACTGTTAGGACATCTCAGCAGAAATGCAGTGCTCTCTGTAGTTGGGATATTTTCCCCGCTAAACAAAAGGAAAGCCTGAGAGGTGAAGTGGAATGATACCCTTCCAGGCCATAAGCTCAGCAATAATTCTCTCCATAGTGGATTTTTGCCAAACTCTGGTGAGTGATGGGGCATAAAAAGGTGACTAAGTCTGCAAGGGGGCCTTCACACTTCCAGGTCCCTCTGTCTGTCTGTCACCCTCCCCCTGGAGGACTTCTGCTTCTCTGCCTGGCACAGCCCCACTCTGTTGTCAGGTTTCTGCTCAAATATTACTGAGTAAGACAGCGTTTAATGCTGAGTTTTCCACGGTAACGCCGATGTTTCCTGCTTCGCCAATCTTCACATCTCCCGCCACTCCCTGATCATGGAGAAGGTGCCATTTCATGGCGTCTTACAAGACACCAAGGCTTATTATGATCAACATGGTGGCAATGAAACTCCAGGAGGAGGAGCTGGGGTAGTGAATGGGGTGCATGGTGAGAGAGGCAGAAAGGAGAACTGCAAAACTCTGTTAACGAGACGTGTCTCCAGTTTGTGTTCTAGGATGACTTAGGGGATCAAAAGGAGGATTTGGGCGGTAGGAAGTTTATTCCACTGGATAGGTAGGAGAGATGTTGAGGGCTGGAACTAATGAAGAGCTCGAGGAAGGAGAACAGAAAGCTGTCCTGTCCTTAAACAAGGGGCTCTGAGGAGACAGAGCCAGAGCCAAAATGACCTTCAGCCTCCTGATGCCACAGTTGTGAAGTCACTCATCAGGAGTGGATTTCGGTACAGGCATAGCACAGGAAGGGACACTCCCAGGAAAATCGCTGGTTTGTCCAGTGTGCTCTCAGTGCCTGGCAGCGCTTCATATGGGAGAGTAGATGACGTACTCCGACAAGCTCTTTAAAGTAGAAGATGTGGATGATGGACTGGAGAAAGCTGTTAGAAACCCTTCACTCAGGAAGTGTGGCAAAGTGACAGAAAAAAGGACTGGGCAGTGAGGAGTTAATGTAAAGGTATTCAAATAAGGTGCTTAGGCCCATAGCTCCTAGGAGCTATTTCCTCCCTGGTACAGTTGTTGGAGGGTCTCTTACTACTTGGAGGGAAGACCATGAATTAACCACCTGTTTCCAGTGCAGTGCAGGAGTGCTGGCTCAGGATAATGCAACTAGAAAGAGGGGTTGTAGGCCAGAATGCTTGAGACACTCTTGGATGAGTTTTTCTGCCAGTGGTAGTGTGTTCCCTGGTACGCATTTACATTCCCAAAGATTTCCTGATAAGAAAGTTAGTATAAGCAGAGACTGCAAGTTTTTTCTCAGCTGTTTCATTGAGCAGTGCTGGCTGATATGGCTGATACTCTCTCTTTTTCAAGTGAGGTTTCCAGATGGAGCCAGGCTAATCCCAGCACACTGGGAAGCTGAGATAGGTGATTACAAATTCAAGCCCAACCTGAGCCATGTAGCAATTTAGTAAGACTTTGTTTCAGCAATTAAAAAAAGGGCTGGGGATGTAGCTCAGGGCACACACAGGTCATTACTAGGTGTAGTGGTGTGAAGATTGATTCTGCTGTGGCAGATCAGAGGACTTGAGGGTTTGGGCCATGCCTGTTTCTAGGAGAGAAGGCAGAGCCTTTTGCTGGGCGGTTTCACACTTGAAAGACCTGCTTTCTGCAGGCTCAGCACTCGCCCTAGTGACTCAGCAGTTGAAACAAGGCCATTTGAATATTTTTCCTATTTTAATGTGGACAGATGGAATGATCTTGGTTATTAAGACGAGGTTCCTATGTGAACTTCGTTTCAAGCAAAAGGTGAGGGAAATTAAGCTCCAATACAATCAGCTATCAATAAAACTAAGAGAATGTTGAAGGTGTGTATTCCCATTTTGTAGTCTGTAATGCAGTAGGAGAGCTGGGCAGCAATGAGCAGGGGCTGCAAAAGTCACCAGGTGAAAACTCGGGCACTTACACGTGTGATCAGAATTATGGTGAATGTTTAATCTACAAAACATTTCGGTAAATGACATTCATTATTATTAATGCCATTAATTCCCTCAAAACACTCTCCTCCTCTAAAAAAGTTATCCCCTGTAAGCATTTCTGGAAGTCCACGTCCTTGAGTATCTTTAGTTGCACAGTGGTAGCTGATGTTCTGAGTTGATTCACATTTCTCTTTCACGGTCATTTTGACTTTGGGAAAGAGTGAGAAGCTCCATAGTGCCAGATCTGGGAAACACCAGGACATTTTTATGAGCTGGCTTTTCTGCTGGATAGCACCTGGCAGCACCATTCTCTATTTCTTATCACACTTCCAGAACTGCTTCCGAAAGTACTGAGAACGATAGGTATGCCCAAAGTGAGGGGGATTAATGACCATGTGTTGCTTCCTATTACACATTTTTAATACGTGGAAACATTCACCGTACATTTTGACCACACCTTGAAATCTAAAAAACACATCAGCAGACCTGACCACTGACTAGCCTGATTGTCATTGAGAGAGACTTCATGAGCGTCCTGATGTGATGCAGGAGGAAGCAGCAGGTATCTCTTTTCAGTATTCTTGCCAAAAAAACCTAAAGCAAAGAGAGCCTCTATTCCACATGTTTATTGGAAATGCAACGAATAAAAAAAACCTGTCAAAGCACATCTCAGGGATGCAGAATTTGGGAAGTTGTGGCCACTTTCAGGTTGTGATCAGCAAACCAGCAATGCTAATATCTTTGCAAAGTGTTTGATGAAAATGCAGATTGCCAGGCACCACCCAAATCTGAATCTGCATCAAGGCTTCTAAGGAATTTGCTTGTAGCTTAAAAGTTTGAGAAGCATTGCACAGGACAGTGACCTAATGTCCTCACAAATGAGCAAGGAAAAAAGGAGGGAAATTATTAGTTTTATAAGAAACTAAAGATGTCAATGAAATCTCACATGTTGTGTTTTATTTATGTCTTGAACAAACTGTAAAAACATAAAATGTGAATTTTGATTATATATAAGATGATAGTAAAGAATTATTGTAAAACTTGGATGCTATGTGACTTTTTAAAGTCTTTAGCCCTCAGGGAAGATGAAGAATTTAAAGTAATTGGCATCCTGGGAGAGAGAGAGAGAGAGAATATGTGGAAAATTAGCCATAGACTGATAACCATTGAAACTGTAAAATGGGCACACGTGAGTTTAGTATACCATTCCCCTACTTGAGTGTATATGAGTAGTGTGATTACGTGTAAGTGAAAAGCTGTAGGGTTGTACTTTACAGCGACAGCAGCAAAGATAATAAAATGATCCTCTACTGTTCAAGCAGTGGTGAGGGCAGACTTTGAAATGTGGAGGTGTGTATGTAAGCAGGAGTTAACAAAATGTTCAGTGTACAGTTGTATCTGAAAATACAGTGTCACGGCCATTATTTCAAATCACATGTCATGCAGCTTGGGAGTAAGTCACAGAAAAGAAGAAACACTGTTTCATGGAAAGACACAAAAATAGGATTTGATTTTTGTGTAAGTGAAGCCTTACATGTGTGCGGATGTTAAAATTGCTAGTCGTCAGGCCTTTAAAAGTGGGATGCATTAATAGTGGCGGTGTCAGACTGTCACATCCTGAGTGCTGCTTTAGACTTACAACAGTTATAATTTCACCTTCGGGACAGCTTTCTTGAGATCTCTGAGGATAATATGTGTAATTTCAAACTTCAAAGATGGCCCCTCTGCAGGACCTGATTGGAGAGGTGAATCTTAACTCCAGTATTGCTTAGTGACTACGACTTCCACCAGAGTAGTTCTCTGCTGTACTGAGCGCTTACCCCTTTAGAATCACCTAGGAAACCCGCTCCTCATCGAGAGATCTCAGTTTGATTGGTTCCATTCAGTGATTCACACACTATCCTGCATCTGAACTGTCGCATAGAGCTTCTTTTTGTGTGTGTATGTGTGTTTTTCGTTTTTATCGGTACCAGGGATCGAACTCACGACCGCACACTTGCAAGGAAGGCACTTACGCCGCTGAGCTAAATCCCTAGCCCCCGCAAAGAGGTTCTTAAAAAACACAAACAGCAACTCTCAGATTGGGGATGTAGCTGAGTGCTGGAACACTAGCCTGTGGCCTTGGGTTCAGTCCTTAATACAGAAAAACAGACAAAAATGCTTGCCACGCCCAGGGGTTATTTTCTGTAGCTCTACAATGAGGTCCCACAATTTTCATTTCTCACAAGTTCCATCGATGCAGCTGCAGACACCACTGAGAACCGATGCTCTAGACTCTTAAGCCGTCAGTGATTCCAATGGAAGCCAGGGCAACAGCTGTGCTTGCTTGGGTGGTGGCCCGTGATTAAATAAGTTAACCTTTTTCAGGCTTTTGGGCTATTATATTCAAATTGTGAGTAGTGGGAAAATACGGAGTAGACCCTTGTTAGTCCTGGGAAGTGTTTCTTTATCATCATTGTGGCAGCACAGGGGGGAACATTGTGGCCCTTTCCCAGCTGGACGACCTGGGGAAGAGTGTAGCAGTTACATCAAGTATCAGGGTAAGGGGTGGATGAGCTATGAGTATGGGCAGAGCCTATAGAAATCAAAGCTGCTCCTTTCTTCAGTGTGTGTGTGTGTGGGGGGGCCTTGGTGTGACTGCTGGACTCATGCAGTGGGTAAATGATGTCTGGTGTTGGTAGTGGGAAGAGAAACGAGGTGTGTGTTTCAGCAGTAGCCCTGGTTGTGTGCGGAGTTCACTGACAAAGCTTGGAGAGGGAGTCTGTTAGTGCTTGCGGGCTCAGCCTTGTGGATAGCAGTCGTGTTGTGGAGGGTTCCGAAGCCCAGTGCAAGTCCTAAATATATGGTGTCACTGTGGTTCCTGAAATCAGAAGCGTGTGTTTGGAGTTTTTAAAAGTTTTGTTTTTGTTAGTCCATTTTGAATGATTACATTCAGCATGGGAAGTGGATGCATATAATAAGACATGTTAATTCTTTTTTCACCCCCTTGCCACCTTTTCCCCTCATGTTTTTGTCCTCTTCCCACAAAAGATCCATCTGTCTGTTTTATATTTTATTTTGCTCTTTATATATACTTTGGGCTTTTCATGTAAGAGAAACCGTGTGATATTTAAGCTTGTGTGTCTGATTTATCACACTTACCTTGACCTTGAGGTGAATCCATTTTCCTACAAATGACCCCAGTCATCTAAGGTGCTGGGGATGGAACCCACAGTCTTTGCATTGAGCTGCATCCCTGTCCCATTCATTTGTTCATTCAAGTATTCATCCATTAGTTACCTTTAATTTTATTTTGACATATAGTATTGCTAAATCATCACACCCACCCAATTCAGGTTGAGCCCTACACCTGGCTCCTAGTGAGGGACAGAGTGTGTCAAACCTACCTGCCAGGCACTGCTGGGCTTGAGAGGTTCAGCCATCCATCACCCCATGTTTATTTCTTTGCATGTTTTGTTTTCCCAGTATATTTTAAATGCATGTAAGAGGTAGTTTATCTATTGCTTCGGAATGTCGACTTCCTTTTTCAAATGAGCCAGGAAATCTTAACCTTCTGTCATGTCTTTCAGCATCTGCTCGTTCTCCTCCTGTGACTAGTTTTAATGGCGGGGAATAAAGGAAGAGGACGTGCTGCCTATACCTTTAATATAGAGGCTGTTGGCTTTGGCCGAGGGGAAAAGCTACCTGATGTCGTGTTGAAGCCACCCCCGCTGTTTCCTGTAAGTACACTGACAGCCAGATCTCAGAGTGTGTGTTCACGTGCTTCAGAAAAGGTTAAAGAATGTATATATGTTACCACTGTAATGTGCCCAAGTATAAGAAGGTAAAAGCGGTTGTGTTTCATTTACCTATAATGTAAATATGAGTGCTACACTCACGTATACTACACTAATGTAAAATAGAGAAAGCAATACTGTGTACACTTTCCCAGGCATATACTCAGTACTGTACTGTGTGAAGCAATACTTTTTAAATTCTTTCATCTTTTATTGCCATTATTGATGTATTTCAGCTAGCAGAATATTTTACAAAGTCATGTTACAGAGGTTTTCACCCTGCCACACTTTCACCTAGTGATTTATCAGTCATTCTGAGTTTTGTTAGTTTCTCAGATTGTAAACATTTCTGCTGCACTTGGTATTCCTTTTGAATTCAGTGGTTGTGCTGCAAACCTCACGTCTCCTCACGTTGCTTTACCTTTATTTTGAGGGGTAAGCTTGCATTTCCAGATGTGCCTTGTGCTGTGGTATGAAAAACAAGAACAATCAAAGATCCTCATCCCTTCATGAATTTTGTTCCTGTTTCAGATAAAAGTCCTTTGGTGAAGGACTCACATTGGTAGCGGGCCCTGAACGAGTGTGAGGCAGGTGTTCATTGAGGGAGTCTCTGTGTTTGGCGCTTGATACTTGGCTTTTTAATGTGTGGTACAGCACAGTGCTCTGGGATGGAGATAATGTCCCTTTGGGGTCATTTCTTTCCAAACAGTCTCCTCTCCATGCGGGGGAGATTACTTCTGAACACTGGGAATGCTGGTGCATTGGCCCTGCCTCACCTGGCCTTTCTCCCATCGCGTCCCCAGCCTCGCTGGCCCCTCGCTCTCCACGCCTTTGCCCCACAGCGTCCCAGTCTGGGCCCCTCCTGGCTGCAGTCTCTGCATGGACAGCTTCCTGCTTTTGTCCAGCAGCTGCTCTGGATCTGACCTCCCGAGGCTGTGCACACTCACCTCTCTGGGTGGCCACGTCCGCACTCGGAGCTCTCCTGTCCTCGCCCTACTGCTGCTGTCCTCCCTCATTGCCTGCAGTTGCGCCTCACCTCCACGGATTGTTACTTGCTTTGTGTTTCTGAGCTCCGTGTGAGCAGAGGCTGTCACTAATTCGTCCTGGGACCTCCTGTAGCCTAACCCTGCCTGGCTGACAATTGTGTTCGGTAAATAGTTATGAAATGAATGACTAGAGTGCAGTCACATTTGGAAATGTATCCTTAGCTCTGAAACCAGAAATCCTTCCCATGCCCTGTGGGAACAATGTAGGTAATTATGTGCATAGATACACACGTGTATGTGTGGGTTTTTTTTAAATATAGCTTCAAGTTCCTGTTGTGCCATTTACCCGTGATGTGACTTACAAACCATTCATTTCTCAGTGTCTTCACTGTTTTGTCTTGTTTTGGTTTCTTTGGAGATATTGGTAATACTTTAAATGAGCTAGCGGATGTTGAATAGTATAATAAGACAACTCTGGCTATAGCGACCACTTGCTAAATGATGGGAGCTGTTATTTATTTTATTTTTATGCTCCTGCTCCCACCAGCACCCTAGTTGAAGTTAACAGACTCTGAAGTGGTGATCACATTAGTCAATAGACAGTACAGCAAAATAATTACCAGTATAGGTTCTTGGTGTCAATAGAAAACTTGCATGCTTTCCGTACCTCTAATATAAGAGCAAACTAAGAAATGATCTCAAATGTTAGATTTCAGAGGTCCTCTTTCAGGTTAATTGTAAAACTTAATGCTCATAAAACAATTTTTCAACAAAATTTACATTTTCTAGAGTATAGAGAAAAGAGTATTAAAACGTTAAATTTATTTTTAAAACTTTGTCTTTTAAGTAGGATACAGATTATAAGCCAGTGCCTCTGAAAACAGGAGAGAGTGAAGATTACATGCTGGCTTTGAAACAGGAATTGAGAGAAACAATGAAGAGAAAGCCTTATTTTATTGAAAAATCTGAAGAAAAACCAGGTACGTCTGCGGCTGTTTGGTCACGTGGTTTAGTACGAATGATACGTTGTTTAAGCACAAAATATGTGGCCATTTGATGTGGTAATTTGATTTGAACAGATTCTAAATCACCTTGAAAAACTACATTTATGGTTGACAACAGAAAAATAAAGCTGTGGATATTTTAGGTTTAAAAATACATTTCACAGTAGAAGTTATACATGTTCAGTGAAAACTATGGAAATGAAAACATTGTTTTAGGTAACAACCCATGCAGGTGTCCAAAGAACAATTATTTATATTATATTGTGTATTTTAGATGATTCAGATATTTCTTTTTATAAAATTTGACTCACCATTTTACATTATCTTTTCTTTACCTAACACATTAGCCCTTATATATATATTCTTACTATTTTTGGAAAATACAGATTTTAATGATCATTATTTCATTGGATGGATATAACATTATTATTTGTAACTAGTTCCGTATTAGGTTGAAGGTTGATTCCAGTTTTTTGCTTGTTTGATGCCAAGATTACTGTTGTTGTATATAAGTTTTTATGTATGTGTCCAATTCTTTAATATTTAAGTTAAAATATAAAAGCCATGATACTTGATTTATATTATCTGTGGTGTAAAATGTAAAATATGCATTCATTGCTGACGCTGAGGGCAGAGAGAAGAAACTACAGTTAGAGAAGGAGCAAGAGTTCCAGGCCGGGAGTGGGAAGTGGTTTTGGAGGAAGTGAACCTCTTAAGAGCTGTGTAGCACAACAGAGCTGTATTGATTTTCAGTTTCTGCCCCTGGTTGTTGAAATTAGAGGGATCAGTATCATCTCCACATTCTGAAAACAACATCATTAAAACATGAGAAATTCATGCAGTGTCATCGTCTTCCATTAATATTAAAAGTGCATTCCATTTTCCCTGTCTCTAAATGACAGAATTGGCTAAGGATCAAAAAAGAAATCTTACAAAATGATCTTACATGTGTTTGTAAGACTCATGTCAGGTTCATTTTTTCAAAGTATATTGGCCTGAAGTTTGGTAACAATTTGTTAAGAGAGTTTTGTAACCTCAAAAATACTGAATTATTTTACTTTCATGATTATGCTAATGCTTTTGTCTGGGTTTAGAAATGAAAATTTAAGCTCTCCTTTTATAATTTAAAAAGTAAAACCAAACAAACTAATAAATACTCATTAGAAAAAATAATAGTGCAGATATATTTTAGTCTTTTAAAAATTAGTCTTTTTCTCTAGGTTGTGGTACTGATTTACTTAACTGGATGTGATCATTAAAGTGCATGTCTAACTTTTTAAAAGAGTATCAAATCATTCAAGCATTTATGTGAGTCTCTGAGGCAGAGTCATTAAGAACATAATGCTGTTGGTCTGTGGGAGTAGTTGGCTTGTACCTGCCTCAAAAAGGCACTTTATCATCGGTAGCTGTGCAATAAAAATAAAAATTCACAGTGCCCACAGGGCTACTTATTTTATTCCTTTTAGGAGGAATTTGTATAGAACTTTCCAAATTGACACAAGTAAATTTTCTTGGAATCTATATATTCCCTTCTCTTTTCCAGTATAGTGTTAATGATTTAGAACTTTAGAGGCTTCATGGGTGAGACGGCACACAGTCTGTCCAGTTCAAGTGAGGTTTGTTTTTTCTTGGTTCCCCATCAAGGATCATGAAAACTAGTTTTAATTTTTGGTTTCTCTTTGATGAGTTCCTACTGTTTATAAAGACTGAGATGTATAATTTTTATTCTTTCATAGAAGTCTTTCAAAGAAGAAAAATTACTTATTTAAAAGAAAATTTATCTTTTCATTAGTATATAGGACCCTTTTGTAAATTTAAATTACATGGAATTACAGTTAATGTATTTTCCTATGACTGGCTTTCATTTAGCATAACATTTTCTGGATTGACTTAGTGTGATTGTATCGTTGATTCATGCTTTTTTATGACTGTATACTAATCCATGGTATGGGTATACCACATTTGCTATCTCCCCATCACTTGATGGATCCTTGGTTCAGTTACTTTTAAGAGCTGTCTGAAAAATGTTACCCTTCACATTCATGAACATGTTTTATGTAGAAATGTTGTGATTTCTATTAGGCATATATTGAGGAGCATATGTTACCTCTATACAGTATTTAACATTTTGAGGAAATAGCAAACTTTTTTAAAGTGGCTGTGCCATTTTACATTCCTGTCAGCAACTAATTTCTTCACAAACATGGGAACGCTTTGATTCCAGCTTTCCTAGTGGTGTACAGTAATATCTTTGGGCTTTGACCTGAATTTCCCTAATGACATTGATGTTGAACATCTTATGTGCTTTTGGAGAAATGTCTTTGCCCCTTTTTAACTGAGTTCCAAGAGTTGGTTTTGTGCTATAAATTATTCAAACGTAACTTAAAATACTGAAAAATGCTTTTTAAATGGTCCATTGGATATCATGATAAATGGTAAACAGATTTTCCAGGCATACTGAGGGTTAAATTTTTTCAAATACAGAATCATTTTGGAGAAAATTCTAAAAAATAATTTTAATGCATCTACGTTAGCATCTTGTTTTTTTTTAATAAGAAATTGAAAGGCAAGATTAAACATTTAACCTAAAGCCTGGTAAATACCTAGAAAACCCTGTCAGTCTCTGATCTGTCTGCTGTAGTTACTTTTCTCTGACACAGTTGAAAGCATTTTCTCAGTCTCCGATTTTTGGTTAGCTCTTGTATTTTAGGTCACCTCGTTCCGCTGCTAAGTTTCAACTCTGCTCTCCATGATGAGCTGTGTTTTCAGAGTGTGTGTGTGTGTGTGTGTGTGTGTGTGTGTGTGTGTGTGTGTGAGATAGGGTTGCTTGGCAACGCATGCTGGGCGGATCAGCTGCAGAGGCACAGGCGTGGTGCCAAACTGGTGGTAGCAAACTCGGGAGGCTCAGTGCAGTTTGCACAGAGTGGTTGGCGGGAAAGGCTTGCAGCGTGCTGGTTCAGCCGCTTCCCAGATCCAGCCTGGCCATCCCCCTCCCCAGGGGTTAGGATTTGCATCTGGAGAGAGTAACAGAATGACTGTGCGCGAACCAAGCGCTGGAGGTGCATAGACGGCCTCCCCCACCACATAGGTAGGTAGTTCATCCTGGCCACCTCACCTTTGGACTGAGAGTTGGGGGTCACTTCACAAGGGTAAAATGGAAGGCGCTAAGTAGAACTCCTGGCTTTTGCATTCAGGTAGCTTCCCCATCAGATTTGTCCGTAGTCTCACCAATCAGGCAGATTGTCGGATCGGAAAACCGTAATTCAGATGCACCTACGAGCTGCCCCGGCCACCATGCCCAGCGTGGCACCCCCTTCTTAAGGGTGTTGTCCTCAGTGAGGCTCTCAGAGTGTAGTTAGCGTCCGGCCAGGTACAAGGGTACCAGCTCCTCACAGGTGAGGTGAGAGTGTTATCTGCTGTTCGCAATTATTTTTACAAAGTAGTTTATCTAGTTTACTCTTTGTGTTTCTAATGAATTCTTTGATGGTTTTTTTCCTCCACAGATATTGAAAGGTACAGTAAAAAATATATGCAGGTGTACAAAGAAGAGTGGATACCAGGTATGACAAAACAGCGTTAAATACTTCTGAAAGACTGTCTCCCTAACTCATTTTTTTAGGGTAAGCTTTTTGTTCTCACTGTAGGCAAAAACGTCTGGTACTTTTCCTGTAATTAACAAATAATATAATATAAAGCTTTCAAAAACTGAGAAGAAAACATTTTTATAATGCAGCAAAAAAAAGGAACATGTTTGTGCAAGTTTTTAGAGCAGTTTTTCTAAAAAAAGGGCCTCGCCACAGCTTGTGGCTTTCTAATTTCATTAACCACAATCAGAGTCTTAATTTCTAATGGCAAAGAGCAGTTTCTTTGTTGCTTCTGAGCAATCTCCCAGCTTTTGAAGAGAAAGCAGCAATCTAGTTGGAAGGATATTTTAAGCGAAGCTTGCAGACAGCCTTCCAAGCAGACACAGACCAGGTTCAGTGCTTCCGTGCCTTTCGGTAGAAAGCTCTGTTTTCAGCCTTCAGACACTTCACCGCAGAGCCAGAGAGGGCTGGAGGGCTTGCCGAGGAGATCTCATCTGGCCCGTCCCCCTGCAGGTCAAAACAGAACTGAAATAACCCTTTGAGCTGCGCCAGTCCTGCTGGAACGTGGTCTCCTCCTGCAGTTCCTCTCTCCTGTGCCTGTCTGTCTTCCGTGTTCTAGACACTGCCCTGGCACAGACACTTCACGGCTCAAGCAGCAGCATGGCTTCTGCGCCTTCCAGCTCTGTCTCCACTGCTGGTCACAGATCACCTCGGAGGACCCTGGAAGCACTCCTGGGTCCCTCCCATTCTCTACTTCATTAACAGTCATCTCCCACATGAGTCTGTTTACATAATTATGCTTTTCTGTAATGACTTATAAAGCTAACTGTGTTCAAAGCAAAGTTATTTGTTCAGCCAAAATGGTTTAGATTTAACTGTACTGAAATTTCTTTACTAAAGTCTTTGTTATGTTGATTCCATTTTCTTTCTATACACTGAATGTATGGGATGTGATCAAAGTATATGGCAAGTGTTTATACAGGTAAAGGATTACAGTAAAAGGAATATTACCACTAGTCTCCTTCAAAATTCTCCCCTTGTTTCAAACCCACTCATCTCGTCGTTCTTGCCACTTTCCGAAGCAGTTCTGGAAGTCCTCTTTCTTACCTTCATAAGATGCAGCCACAATGCCACCTGAAGGAAAGGCACACTCATACAAACACAGTGGTGTGTCCTCTTCCACCTAGTCATGGGTCTGGCACAGAGCCACGTCCAGCTCTTCCTCAAAGTCCAGATGACCCTGACAGGGAAGAGTTACTCTTCAGTTCAGGACCTCAGGGCAGCTAGAACTGGGCAACTGAAAGCACTTGCAAAAGAGGACGTCCAGGAAGTGGCCAGAGTGAGGGGCTAAGTGTGTTTGCAGGAAGGGGACTGGCCAGTAAGGGCAGTGTGTCTTTCACTGTGTAATTTAAACATTAACCTTCACCATGGTTTTGAGCACCCTGCGTTGCTCAGCTGTAGGATGCTTGCCTGACATGGGTGAGGCCCTGAGTTTGATCTCCAGGTACCCCAGCCACCTAAAATAAAAAGCTAAAGTGAAAAATTAGAGGAGTTGATTTTAGCTAATGCAGGCAAAAGTCATTTCTTGGGGGGAAGAATTTTATTTTTTCAGAGCTACTAATAGTTTGAATTTTGAGGCTTTCAGATAATTACTACAAGTTTTCATTTCAGATGTGTTTGTAGTCACATGATTTTAGCTTTTGAAAAAATGATGCTATATAAGAAATATATAGAAAATGTATAAAAAACTAACAAAATAGTTGAATAAGAAAGTAGTTAAATAATATTGAAGAAAAACTGTTGCAACCCAAAATTGTAACACAGGAATTATCCTCAGATTGTATCCCAGAAAATTTTATTGCATTCTTTCAAGGCAATTTCAACAAACTTTTTTTCTTTATTGGAGAAAATATATTACTGCTTGTTATATGTGCTTTATTTCAGCCTAAATCTGTAGAATCAGGGGCTAAGAAATATTGTCGTTGCATGGGCAACTGTCATTATTTTCTTTTGATGTTCTCTGGATAGTTATATCTGGCCCCACTGACTGCTAAAGGAAACCGAAAGTTTTATGTTTCTTCTTATATACACATAGATTGGAGAAGACTCCCAAGAGAGATGATGCCGAGGAAAAAGTGCAGAAAAGGTACTTCAAGTAATGTTGCAATACTTCTGGTAGGAAAAGGAATTGCTGAAATCTGTGGGTATGTTTATGGGGACTGAGCCCGGGACTTCACACATGCTGTGCCGCGCAAGCACTGTCACTCAGCTGCATCTCCAGCCTTTTTAGAGAGTTATTTTGAGATAGCGTCTCACTGAGATACCCAGTAGCCTTGAATTTATGATCCCCCAGCTTCAGCCTTCTGGTTAGCCAGGTCCATGATTACACTTGGCTTAAAGTCTAGTCATATAAATTGTCAAACTGAGATTGCTGCCAATTTTTTCTTAAAATCTGTCTGACAGTTTAATTTGCAGAAGTTCAGTGGACTTTTTGCTGTTAGGATTTTGGGGGCTGTTTCTAGAGTTACCCTTTCTGTAACTCCAGAGACTTACTGAGCTGCAAAGACTTTGCAGTACTGCAGCTTTTTCATCTGCTCATCTGCAAAAGTTTTATGATGATGCTGGATGTATCCTGTGTTATCGACTAAAACATTTTAAAATTGGGGAACTGGTAAAATAGAACTTGGTTTTGTATATAAAATAACAAAGTGAACATTAATTATGATTTTCCCCAGAATAGAGCAGTGGACAGTGTGGTGCAGCCTGGCAAGGGTTCCCCAAGGAAATGGATTTGGAGTCGAGACAGAAGGATGAGTAGAGAGGTTACTGCGGGAGGCAGAAGGAGGGACAGTGGCAGGAGGCCAGATCAGGAAGGAAAACCTGAGGGGTCTGGTCAGAGGTGTCCTGTTTCTGTGGGTACCACACGTGGGAGTGATGGGGATGCTGGTCACAGTGCAGGGGCGAGCATCAGCAGGGACAGGACCCGGAGGCTGGGGAGCGATGAGGTCATCTGGGATGCAATTCGATGAGTGGAGGGAAAGAGAGCCAAGCTTGGAGAGATGCCAGAGTCTAATGGGCTGGGAGGGTGAATCAACAAAGAATTACAGAGTAAGCACACAGCTCGCAGAGTGTTCAAGTAGGTGGAAGGTAGTCGGCAAGGTTCAGGAGGTCACACAGCGTCACCCAGGGGTCGAGAGGCAGAAGACATCACATTGTTCTTTGATGTTCTTAGGAAAAGCTTTTTAAAAGATACGCAGGGGCAGCGTCCAGATTGAAATGAGTCAGACGATAACAGAGTTTTCAGTGTACCAGAATTTCCATTTGTTAAGAAATGAAGCACCAGGGAGATGGAGGAGAAAGGGACTTAAGAAGAATCAAGATGTGTCACATCCATATAACAGCTCTCCACGATGAATGCTGGCATTATGACTGGTTAAAATGTTACGAAACAAGGATAGCAAACTTTTCCCTCATCCTGTTCTAATACTCTGCTTCTACCAAAGCCAGGAAAAGGTTGGTTCTTAAAGAACCAGCTACTGACAGGCATTGAAAGAAACTAAAAAATTCCACTAAATCTGCATATATTTGGCTAAGGATACAAAAAAATCAAGATTTAAGGGTTCAGATTTTAGGGTTAAGGTAGTCGTTTAGCAGTTTTGGCCATTTGGACACTTGGCTCCTGCTTATGCAAATAAAGATTGGATGTTATGTAAAACCTAAATACTAAGTGGCAGAGAATGCTGAGTGGACTTTATCTTCATCAAAAATTAGTCATTTTTATATTTTCATAACCATTGTGCATAGTATATATTTAACAGGCCTATATATTATGAAATTAAATAATTTGGGGAAAAGTCCTCAGTGGAAAAAGTTGTATTCATGTGAATGAATTACATACTTAGCTGATAGTTTTGGGAACCAGTGTTATGGGATCACTGAGATCTTATTCCATGTGTCGCTGTGTGTTTTGTATGCATGCTAAGCCGTCTTTGCCTCACAGCTGGCAGAGGAAGTCGCCCATGATTCCCTCTGCCCGTTGCGTGGGGACCCCTCATACAGGCTCAGCAGCTCCCAGCCCCCGGCCCCTTGTAGTGCAGCGGTGTAATTCCCTCAATTATGGGCTGCACAGCACAATCCAAACATACCTGCTTCTGTAGGTTAAATGTTAATCTTTAACAAAATTACATCTTTGTGAGCTGTATTTTCCTCCGTTACAAAGTAATTTCTAGGTATTTAATTTGATTTTGGGAAAGACTGTAATATTACCTGACAGGAAGGGATAATTCTGTAGTGTATCATAATGCTTTGGTAACTGACAGAATCAATATGTGAAATATTCCTTAGTTTCAGAGTCGCCTTAAAATGTAGTATTTTTGATGTGGGTGAGACAGATTATATATCCCCAAGACATTATGACATTTTATTTCATTTGTGCTGCTTTGAGTCTTAAGATTCATAAGACCAGTGTGCTCAGCTTAACTTTTTCATCTTCACTCCAAAGATGGTTCTTTGTCGCGGTGAATATAACTTTTTCATTTCTCTTTCTATTAGCAAACTTGTGTTTTTCCTGAGCTTCCTTATTACTTTCCAAATCTCGTAAACACTGTTTTGATGAAAATGAGTGAACAGGAAGCTGGTGCATCTAGACGTGTGGGAGCCGGTGCTGCCGGGTCTTCTAGTGTGGCTCTGCGTGTGTGAACACGTGGGCAATCCTGTCTCTGATGATATTAATTGCCAGCACTAATTTGCAGTCCTTACTAAAAATATATTTTCCCGCAGTACCAAAAATACCTTTTGAAGCCGTTCTCATTTGCTCATCGGAAACCAGTGAAGTGTTTCATTTTATTTATTTTGCTCGTTGAGAAAATTAGTTCGCTCTGAAAATCGTGCGACTCCCTGATATGCTATACCATTGTGCTAAACAGCACGCAAAAAGATGCAGAAGCATAATCACTCTCGCCATTACAGAAAGTATGTTAACTGCTGGTTTTATTTCAGCAGGCCCAAAATTGAAAAATGCAAAAGGTACAGACAAAGGTTCTTCGCTCATTAATACTGCAGATATATTGAAAAAAATTGAGGTAAGCCTTCCTCTTAGTATAAAAGTGAACTGGAGCAGTAAAATACTTCATATTTCTTTTGCCTTTTTACTGCAGTCTTTCAGCCAGAAATACAATGTTTCCAAAAATCTCATATTTCTTTCGTTGGTATATATATGTATATATATATGCACTTTAAAAAAATTTTTTTTAGGTTTCTGTGTCTTATGTTATATATGAAGGACTATTGTGAGAAAAGTATTATTTTATGAAACTATCATTATCTTTGTCTAAATGTTTTAAAAAGAAACACAGAATTCAAAAGGTTATTGCACTGGATCCCCTCATCCCGTTCCTAACCCAGCCTTTTATCCCTTTTTAGGTTACCAGCGTTTCCGCTTCTCCATACCCTTTCAGAAATAATCTTATGCATAAGAGACACAGAATTTTTCATTTTGATGATAAAAAGCAGCAGGTCACATTCTTCATTTTCACTTTATCACCTAACAAAATATTTTGGAGACAGTTTCACATTGGGCTCTTTGAGTTGCCTTGTTTTGTTTTGTTTTTTTGTTTTTGGTTTTGTTTTTTTTCCTTTGTCTGTGCTAAAATAATAAATCGTAATTTAATTAATGTGCCACCGGTAGACATTGTTTCTTCTAGTGGTTTGCTGTTGTAATTAATGCTGCGATGAGTTCATGTGAGTGTCATTTCTCACGAGGGTAGATTTCTAGAAGCAGGTTCATTGGGTCGGCTTTGGGCACTGTGTAAAAGGAACCGGCACCATCGCCGTGCCTATCTGGAGGTTTACCAGCTGACTGCCGACTTCTGCGCATGTGTTACCTTGCATCCGTGGTGATGAGACAGCGCTGACTGGGAACGCTGGGCCAGGATCTTTGATGAGCTCTTAACAGCCACCACCTGGCCGTTAGGAGTTTGTAGCAACAGAGAGAGAGAGAGAGAGAGAGAGAGAGAGAGAGAAAGAGGGAGAGGTGTTATTATCCCTTACAACATACAGCATGAAGCCACAGGTTTAAAATACTTGCTAGGCCAGCATGGCACAATCCCTTGGTGGCAGGACTCTCTATTTTTGCTTTTTTATTTTTCAACCATACTTGGACTGGAGATAACATGTCCAGGAAATAAAGCCAAAGGATTGATGAAAGAATAGTAATAACTGTCCCTTTTGATGGTGGCGGATTGATAAGTGGGGTTGCAGGATGAGCCAGTGCTGCTCACTGAATACGTGCTCCAGCCACTGTGCAGCCTCCTATAGGAGGTTGATAAGATGGCAGAAGGCGCCTAAGGAAGAGACAGCTGCACCTTTGGGTGTGGCTCCTCAGCAAATTGGATTTCTTGATTCCTTACATGTAATGTAACACCGTTTAGGACACTGGTAAAAGTGGGTTTTACTATCTGGGAATGTCAGTTAACATTTTAATAGAGCAAAAGTTATTTGTAAATGACTGTGTGACTGTTCACTTCTAAAGCAAAAGAAGGTTATTAAAGTTCATTTCTGCAGCAGAAGTTGTTTACTAAAATTTATTATAATGGAACATCTCTGGATGGAGAAATAGCAACATAGCTCCAAATCACATAAATTATCAGACAGCAGGAAATGAATATATGAGCTTCTTATTTCTGCATAGCAATTTTTAAGTAAATAAGCTTAGATTGTTATATCTCATAGAAAAGGGAGACTACTAAATAGAGCTGAAACTAAGATAATGCAAAAGGAGTGAAGTAATGAGGTAAAACGTGTGTGTCTAAGATCGTTTTAAGAAAATTGAATGAATCCATTTATGGTTTTGATTAGAATTTGTTGTAGAAATAAAGGTGAAGTTATTTAAATATATTTGAGGTGGCACCAGTAGAACTATAAGTACAGTAGTCCTACACACTGAATTCTCTATTTTAAAATTTTATGTAACTGGCTTAAATATGAGATAATATGCTGATTATGAAATAGCATTTTTTTTCAATTGCACAAAATTAAATGTAGCACTGTAAGTCCATTGTAACTATGTGAACGTTTCACTTCTGATCTGATTAAAATAGAAAACTTGGTACTATATATGAATTAATATAGCATTGCATTTGCGTGTGTATCTTGCAGATGTTTGGGAAGATCTGTAAGCATATTTTTTTTTTTTTTTTACTTGCCACTTTCCAAAGAGATTGCCAGTTGGGAAGATTGCACTCATTACAATAATAACTCATCAGGCAACAGCAGGGTCCATACTTAGATGAGTCATTTTACAACATCTATTTCTTTGCTCTTTGTTCCGCCTGTGTGAGCAGACAGGAAAAGAAGAGTTTGAAGTCTGAGTAGAAATTGAGCTTATCTGATGTCTTTTTTTTTTTTGAGACAAGGTCCCACTGTGTAGTTCAGGCTGGCCTCCAACTCCCAGTGATGCCCCTGCCCCAGCTTACCCAGTGCTGGGGTTACATGCACGCACCACCACGGCTGGAGGATGTAGTCTTCCCGTTGCCTTTGGTTTAGCTTAGATTCACATTTGGATGTAATTAAAAGGATTTTTAAAAAACTAACCATTTAAGAAGCAATAAATGAATAGCTAAGTTATAATTATTCCCCATATAATTATACTTCTCATCCATGTAATCTGTACAGCACATGTCTTGTACTGGAGAGGAAGCAGTTGGAGGTTCATAAGCTAGTGTTCTAATTACTGTTTCAGAATAATCAGAAAATAGCTAAAGCCTTAAGTATGAATATCAGTATGTGAAATTATTATGTCCACCTTGCCGAAACCTGAGAAATTCTGTCATTTGTGCAGAGTGAGCGTTGTACAAATGGGTAAACCGATAGTGACAGTAATGAAAAGAGGTCACTTTTCATCAGATCAAATATCGTTGCTGTTTCTTTATAGAAACATAAAGATGCAGTTTTAACGGTAAACTAGTGTGTTAGTAATGACTTTACGGAGTAGAGTAAGTAGAACCAGGAGGAAATGAAAGCTCTTCTCACCCTACCTCTCTCCTCTGCTTCCTGTCTTAGGACTGCTAATAATTGCTAGAGTTGACTGTGACCTCGTTCTTGCCAACCTTCTAGATACATTGAGAAGCAAAGCTCCTAAGAATGGAAAGAAAGCACTGAGGGACAAGAGAAATCTGGACAGGGATAATGTGCTGCTAGGCTAATTTATCCCCACAGATAATGTGCAGCTCTGATAACTTGACAGATATTAATAGCTTTCCATTATTTCACCTGCAAAACTAGACCACAGACCTTTTGAAATATTGCCATTACCTGTTAGAAGGGGAACAAAATAATATTCTGAAAGTTCTTCTCTATAAATGATATGTCAGGTACTTTAGGAGAAGGCAGGATAGGCATCATAGAAATGATGGGGCCAGTAGCCCCGCGTTAGCCGAGACCCAGCAGTGCAGTGACAGCAGGAGAAAGCCTGGGGTGGCCGGGGCCTGTGTGCTGCCCTTCTGCAGCTGACCCGAGTTGGAGTCTGGAGGTGGACTAGCATGAGGTGACTGTGACTGGGCCTCTTGGGCTGGGCAGGGTCTCAGAGTCTAGTGGTTTCCCTGTAGAGTAACGAAACTCAATTTTACCAGGAATTGGAAAAGAGGGGTGAAGGTGAAAAATCCGATGAGGAAAACGAAGAGACAGAAGGAAGCAAAGAAAAAAATAAGGACGGTGATGACGATAATGATGATGACAACGCAGAGCAGGAAGACTACGACGAAGAAGAGCAAGAAGAGGTAAAGGGCAGTTTGGGGACGGGACAGAGTCACCCTGCGGGTACCTAAGGAGGAGTGAGGTGTGTGGTGCACAGCTGAAATCAGCACGCGGGAACCAGGGTGACAGGAACCAGAAATGTGTCAGTTCCTTGGTGGCAGGAGAATTACAGCATTGAGGTGGTAAGGGTGCCACATGGGACAGAAGCTTGTCAGACAACTTCATGAGTAGAGATCCACAAACTAAGGACGGGGTCAGGTTAGTGCAGTTAGGATTTAGCATAAAATTTTAAGTTGGCAATTAAGGAGATAGGACTTCAGCCCACAGGTCTGGAAGGGACTCTCTAATGCCTTGTGATTCAGATTCTGCAGCCCATGTGGAGCTGTTGTCAGGGTGCACTGATGATCCGCCTCCGGCCTGCCTGAGGCTCCATGTCCTGGATTTGGGATTTCCAGGTTTCGGAACCATGGCGCATTTCAGAGCTGGAATTAGTCAGGGTACTTTGATGGGGTAACTTGTTGGACACAGCTTCTTAGGGATTTTGTAGACACCACATGTCGCCTTGGCTGAGTGTTCCTCCTCCATCCTGGTGACCTTGTCTTTGCGTCACGTCAGCTTCTTATACCACAGTCTATGACTCTTTTCATCTGAAACTATACCAACCACAAAATTGTCATCACACACTTTAGTTACACATAATGAATACGGTTTTGCACTGGACTTGTATTCTTTAGAAATTTATATTACTGTAAAGAGAACGGTGTAAACATGTCTTTATTTCCAGTTTCATTTGTTAAATAATTTGCCATCCTGATTAGTTGGAGCTCACTAGCTATTTGATTCCCATATCTACATGGATGTGTTTTTGTGTCCTTTGATCTGTTAGGGAACAACACTAAGCTGCTCTTAAACTATAGAAACTTTGGCTGTAGAAACTTTGGCTGTTTAGTACTTCAAGGATCTGTCTCCCTGCTGCTCTTTTTCAGAATTTCCTGAATATTCTGTTTGTTCTCCCGATGAATTTTTAGTTATAAATTAAACATATCTCATTTGTCTCCTAACCCTTCTCTCCAGATCACTCTTTCTCTCCTGTTTTGCTGTCATGATTGGGGTTGTCAGGGCTTTTGTCCTTTGTTCCCCTTTATTGGTTTCTAGTCTTAATTCCCTTCTCTAAGAATCTGAGATCCTCACTCGCCTTTCGTCCTCTTTCTTGTCCTGACTCTTAGCCTTAAAGTCTGGGAGGCTGGTTCAGAAATACTATTTGCGAAGAACCACAGATACCACTGCTGCTGGAACAGATCCAGCCCCATTTTGCTCGCTAACATTTATTCTTTTCCTTGCTAAGTCAGCTCCCATCGGTTATTTCAGATTACCTGTTTTCTTTTTGATCTCTCTCTTTGCTCCTTTTTCTCTCACTCTTACAGGCGAAGTCAGCTTCCTTCCAAAACTGTGGACAGCAAGGCTGAACTTCATAGCCTCTCTCTTCAAACTCAGTGTCTTGTCCTGGCTTCTTCTTTTTATCAAGGGAAGAAATCCCTTCATCCTATTTGGACCTCATCCTCCTGCCCTGTTTTGGGGCTGTCATCCTCAGGTCAATTTCCTTTCCATATTTTTTAGTGTCTTCTCCTATTTGTCTCTTCTGACGATAAATTAAAAAACATCCCATTTCCCATTATAAAACGTCTTCCTCGCATTCTCCCTTCAGCCTCCTGCTGTCACTTGAAAGCTGTTTCAGCTGTCACTGCTTGGTCACCGCATCCCAACTTGGCTCTTTTTATTCCGATTCCCACCTCCCACTGTTCAGATTATTGCTACCACGTTCACCGCAGGTGAACATAGACTTTTCTTCAGCATTCAACACTTTTGAAAAGCTCCTATTAATTAAAATATTTTCTTTATTTAAATTAATCAATTTAAAGCAAGTATAGGCATTTCCTCTGCCAGGCACTGTGCTGGGGACCAAGAGATAGACAGACACGGTTGTTTCCTTTTGTGTTTGTGAGACAGTGCTCATTTTTTTCTTGTTTCTCACTTGTTTTCTCCTTTCATAGTATCTGGAGTTCTCTGTATTCTCCTTTGTAAATACCAGCATTCAGGGTTCTAGCCGTGGGCCTTTTTCCCCCCTCTTAAATAATTTCCTTGGTTGCTTGCATCCTTACCCACAGTTACCCCACGTCCTCCTCGTTGCTTCATCACTTAGCCTGCAGTAAGTGTGCACTTCGATGTGCTTGGAATTTACAAGGCAGTAGAAATACGAAGATGAGATGACTTGTCCCCTCTACTAGGAGACAAACAAGAAAGGAAACAAATACTAGACAGTAAAACTGCGATATTGCAGAGCTGGGTGCCGTAGAGGCTCACAGAAGATACCAAACTGTTGTAGCGAAGTCAAAGAAGGTATCTCAAAGGAGAGAGTGTATAAGATTTAAAGACTTAATCAGAAGAAGATGAGGAAATAGACTGGAGGGAGCATAGATAGAGGCAAACACAAGCAGAAAGGCTTGCAGGTGTTGAGAGTGTGCATCTTAGCATAATTGACTATAAATCAGTATCATTAGACTAGCGACTGTAAGTGGAAAGATGAGGTTGGAGATGAGCAGGATCAGGGTCTTTAGGGCCTTGCGTACCAGGCTGAGACATTTGACTTTCTCCTGCATGCTGCGGGGAGCCATGAAGAGCTGTAAATGCTGTGGAGTAATAAAGGTGGTGTCTGGGATTTATAAAAGTCAGTTCGTATTGAAAGGAGCCAGAGGTTGGCTCATGTTTGCAGACCTGTTGCTCTCCATCAGTGGTTCTCAGCCAGTGGTGACTTTAGCCTTCAAAAGGCATTTAGCACTGTCTTGAGACACTTCCGGATGTCCCACTACCGTGTGGGGGGTAGTGCTACCATGTCTAGTGGGTAGCGCCAGTGTTTGGAATGCCATGTTGGCGAGGTCCACAGGGGCTGAGTCTTGATATATCTCAGGATGTTGAAATGGAGATCTCATCGCATGTAATCAGCAAACACTGACCTTAGAAGAGTACTGCGTAATTTAAAGTAGGTGTCTGTACCTACATTTCATTTTAAAAGTTGTCTCCCCTGTAATGGAAATGGGGTGTGTTTCGAACTTACAGATTTATTCTCTCTGCTGCTTTTAGCAATCATTAATTGAAAAATATGCTAATTAATTTACCTAAGGAATTGAGAATTCGATAAGCACTTTGAACCATTAAATGGGGCAGATTATCTATGTAATGCTTACCTATTAAATCAAGGATTTATTTTTTTCTGCAATTTAGAATATAATTCAAGAACAAGAGCTCAAATGAGAGCCAAGAACCATTTAAGCTGTTAGCTTCAGCCTAGTCTGCTAGTTTACATAGGCATCCAGATTCTGCAGAATTACCTTACAGAATGAGGGAGTATATTTGAGAGATGCTTGTGTTTAGAACACATGTAATGTGTTTGGTTTGGAATACTAAGAATTTCTCCTCCTTACCATTTGTACTTTTATGTACAAATTTGTCTTGTATTTCCACATGTCTTTGCCAGGGTTGCAAGGCCTTGAACTTTGAACTATGCCATCCCTCCCCCGACCACAGCCACAGACTTGGGTCAGGTATCTAGACAATTCTGGATTTGTTGGCTGAGAAGCCAGGCTAACTTTCTGGAACAGGGAAGGATCTGAGCTAGTTGCAGATAATGGTAATATTTAGGGAAGACAAAGTAATGAGTATCTGAAGGATGTGAGTTAGCTTTCATTATTTATATATATTTCCATATAAGATCTATCATCTAGATACTAGAGAAGAAAATATTCACAACAGTGAAGCCGATACACACTGAGATATCTATTGAGAATGGTCTGCTTACTACAGACAGTAGAGATGTGGAAATTTGTATTTAGTGTGGCAGATTTAAAACTTAAATGGTTAGTAAAATAAACAATCATGGACTTTTACCCAGTTTTATGAATGGTCATTTCACAGCTCATTAAGCAGTCCTGTCTGCTCATTCCCTGCCTGTCCCCCAACCCTACCTGCCATCTACCCTATATTACTGTCAGATAGACATTATGGTGTTCCATCCACAAACATTTCAGTGTGGACTGAAAAAATGAGGACTCTTTAACAACCTCATACTGCCATTATTACACATAATGACGTATGTATCATCACATCAAGCCAATGTTAAATTTTCTCAATTACTTCAAAAAAACCTTAAAGTCCAAATGAAATCCCTACTGCGGTCAGACTAGGTTAATAACTCTTTGTCCAGGTTCAAGGTAGACCTTTGAATTTTTCATTTTCTAAGTCCTTTACATGGTCACAGTCCCGAGGACCTGCATGTTCCTAGAGGCTTATCTTAACCACAGGGAGCTGAGAGGCCTGGATAGATGTGACATGGTGTCCTCTGCATCTGTTCTCCTGCGAGCTTCTGATGGGAAGCGGAAGTCCCTGTGCTTGCTGTTACGCACCGTGACTTTGAGCCTCAGCAGCGGTGCAGTGATGGACGTCATTGTAGACTGGCTCGGTTCCTTGCATGTCCCTGCGTGTGGTGCACTGCATGTGATTGGTTTAGTTAATCAGCCCACGCGTCACCCACTGGGGAGCACTGCAGCGTATGTGTCATCCTGCCCAGTGAGGGGGCCCTGTGTGTCCTCATAGCTGGTCACTACCTCAGAATGGTAGCTATGAGTTGCTTTCTTGAGGAAAGCGGCACACGTAGACACACAGGGAAAACTCATGCATTTTCTTAAATAGATTAAAAACTATTAAACCGCTGTAAAGTTTTGTATTTATAAACGTAAAGGGATAGCTTACACTGTATTATTGAATATGATGCTACTAATTCATTTTTACTAAAGAATGTATAACCATTTCACTTAGGAAAATGACTACATCAATTCGTACTTTGAAGACGGAGATGATTTTGGTGCTGACAGCGATGACAACATGGATGAAGCAACCTATTAGCCATGAAATTGCTTGAAATGGTTTTTATAATTCAGCTTCTGAGTATCTGGAATACTTGATTTGTTTCATGTCATAAGGAATGAGTACCTGTTTTATTTTTGTCCCTATCTCACTGGACAAATACTTGTTACCAAAATATGTAAATCCACTTTGAGTTTACACAGCAGTTACCTTCTGTAGCAGTCTCTGTTCCCACAGACCTCCCACGTTCCTCTGAGGCCCCGCTGTGTCTGCTAGTGGATGTTTGAAAAATCTGTGTTCGAATGTGCCTAACGAGCTTTTGCATCTTTTAATCTATGGATCCATACTTGAACAAATTATTTTTCTGTAACGGCTGATCTTTTCTAAACGTTATGAGTCATAGTGTCTTTCTATAATGTAAAAGTTGACAATCCAGCACATGCAGCACTTTAAAAACAAACTGAACATTATTTTTATGTGGAATGTACTGTACCACTCACTACCTTAGGACTACAGAAACATACCTGGCCTCTCACAAATGCAAATTTAAGGGATTAAAAGTTTTGTGATCAAAAAACATGCACACAGGGAAAGATGTCCACGTGGAAATATGCGTTTCACAGTCCACGTCCGTGTTGGATGAACATAATTGGGGCTACTTCAGAACACAGTATGTGATCTCACTATAGTAAGTTTGACATCTTCAAATAGTTGAGTTTATGAAAAACTAGACTCAGGCATCTTGTTTGATGTTGTGCTTTGTAGAAGTGTGGAGTAAGTTCCAGTTACATCGGTTTCACAGCAGCAGTGCAAGCCTGGTGAAGGCTGGAGGCCTCTGTGTGTCTCAGGCCTCACACGCTCTACAGCTGGTTCTATAACAAAGCAGAATGAACTCAGGTCATTTTGAAATTAAGATTAATCCTTTCTAGCTCCCCTTCCACTTCATGATTTGGGGAGAAGATACCTAGAAACCTCAGCCTCCATTGTACTAAAAATGCCAAAGATTTTTAAGAAAATTCACGTATTTCAAAAACAACATATTAATATCAAACACCAAAATGTATTTTTCTCTTTGGGAAAATATCATCCATTTTCCTGAGCACCAGAGCCCTAAATTCTATTTCTGCCCATATTAGATTCAGCCTTGAAACTGCACATGGTTAAGTTTCTGTACCTTAGTTTCTCTATGTTAAGCAGTTTCCTATAAGGTTTTTTAAGTATCAGAATTTCACTTTATGTATAATTCTCTTAGCCTTTAGGAATTAGCAGGTCTTAAATTTGGTTCTTACCTTCAATCATAGCTGTCACTGAAATGTTTTAAACTTGTTTTCCTCATAAAATACATTATTGTCATCAGATTTTTCCCATCTTGTTATTTGTAGGGAAAATTTGCATTGTCCTGTGTGATTCTGCAACATGACTGTCTCAGGAAAAAGATCACTAAATGACAATACTTCCTCAGATAATTCAAGATGGGTCAGAGCCCCATCTTCCTAGTGCTATATTCGCTATATATGGGACTCCTTGTTTAAAGGAGCTTGTCAGACTTGACTAAATTGAAACAAAGTTTTCAAGCTGCAGTCTACTCAGAATAGAAACTTCACATGAAAGTTTGTAGTAATAATAGCAGAGCTGTCATTTGGGAATGATAATATAGTTGTTTTATTCTTAAGGCTCCTTTGGTGCCACAGCCAAGTACTACCATTTAGTTCACAGCAGTTGTATCTCTACACTGGTTTTTTGCATTATTACAACTCTGCCGATAACTGCTTGACTCAGGCGAATACACAGAAGTTACTTCTTTTCCTAATTTTAATCCACCTTCACTGGGAAGTCTTGCCAATTGTGGGGCAGTCCCTTCGGGCATTTACCCTAGGAGGCCCCAATGACGTGTATTCTTTCTCCTTTTGGAAGGTATTTCTGTAATTTTAAAGTATGTAAATTGTGAGGATAGAACCTGAAGGTTGTTTTACCAGCATAAACCCTATTTTCCTGGCTTATAATCTGACACTGTGAAGTTACTCCATTGGAAAGTAAAGTATTTTGCAGCAGAGGCTTCTTTATATATACAAAAGAACTTACTGGTAAAGCATCTTTAAAATTATTAAAATAAACTGATTGCTATAATGCTTTTCTCTTGTCTTTGACTACACATTAAATTCTTTTCAATATAAAATTGTTTTGTTTACCAAATGTTTGCTTTTAACTTCTAGATATAAAAAGTGAATCTGATAATTAAGATTTTATTTAGTGAAGTACATGTTTATTGAGCAGAGATGCCTACAATGTAACTGTTGAACATCAAAGGAAAATTAGGTATGGAATTAGGAAAAAAGTTGTGAGAACAGAGAGATCTGCAGGCAGTGTAATAATTAGCATAATCACTGGTTTCTTGGACCACCAGAGTGAAGAAATTCAGGATGTTAACTTTCCTTCACTCCCACATGTATAGTGTCGGCGGCTTTAAGATGGTCAGACTCTAGAGCTGCCAAAAACTGCCTTAGTAAAAAAAAAAATCTGAACACAGCTTCGTAAGATGTTTTCAAAAATAGGAATACACACCATGGAAAAAACAGTTCACTGCATTCTACTAAAACTGCAAAGAGCTTTCTTACTGTTTCTGCTACTCCTAATTTTTAAAAAGTTCTCAAAGGGGAAACATTTATACTTGAAATTTGTATCTGGAACATTTCCTACGACTGATTCAGGACAACATAAACTGTTGACAATGCCTTGCCGCATCTTTCTCTCCTAAGGAAAACCTCCCAGACCACTCAACTAAAGTTTCTGTTGCACTTCTGTCTGTCCTACCAGTGACCCAATGGAACGCACAAGAATCTGAATCTGTAAACTTCTGGCAACTTGCTCTATATTATATCTCTATATCAAATAATTAGAAATTGCTTTAATCAATAAAATTCACCAGTTTGCCACTTTAGATTGAATAATAAAATAGAGACTTTATTACATTTTCAGGTCTTTTAAAATATGAATAAAGGGCAAAAAATTTTTTTAAAGTTTTACAGAGGTACATGCTAATATTCCCAATTGTACAAAATACATTATATAAAACTTAGTTTGCATACATAAAATGAAATTAAATAAAGCATTCAGATATTTCTATAATAGTGCAATATGCACATACTTAGAAGAAAAATACTGATTTCCTGAGCAACATTGTTGTAATTCAAAATAACAGTGATTTCTGTCATAATGCACCATATTTAAGAATAGACTTGAGAATTTCCCCTTGGGCTGTGGCCGTGGATCAGCAGTAAAGCATCTGCCTACCACACAGCAGGCCCTGAGTTCAATTCTCAGCACCACACAACAAAAATAAAACACCTCCAACTGCCCTGTAACCCTGCTGGATGGGTCTCTGCTTCATACTTGTAACTGCATCCTTCATATTTCCAGCTAGAAGTAGATCTTCAAGAAAATCAGTTACTAAACAGTGGTTCACTGAAAAGGACTTAAGGCCACTGAACAAGCAGGCAGAGTCCAGGCAAAAAGCTTTAGAAGTCATAAAGTCCTCTCAAGAAGACCGCTGGACAGGACACTAGGCTTCTAATTCTTAATGTGGCTAGCAAACCACGTTAGAGGTGGGCAGCCAAAATATTTCACTTAAATGGGCAAAGTTTAGTTCAGTACTTAACCATGTCACCCACACATTGTTTAAAAAGCTCTAAACTATGAGATTTTTCATTTTGCTATTCCAAACTTCTAAGTGAGCCACTGTGCAGTGATTCACAACTCCATTACTTTAGATTTGCAAACAGATATAAAAGCCTCAAAATGAATTCGAAAAAGGCCTTCACAAAATTCACAACTATCAAACAGTACTTGTGCTTATGTTATCTAGTTATATGACAATGTGTATGTGCTACAAATTTAATGTATATCAGTATTCTTAAAAAGCTAAAATTCTGAATTCCATTTAATATTTTAGGATATTTTTAAAAACAAAAATCAAACTAATTTTCTATATAACCTGTATATAGAATTACATATAGTTCAAATTCTTTAAATATATATATAATTGAAATATATAGAAAAAAATTGCCTGATTGTGCATCATCAGGATATACGATATATTTCCTTCAGAAAGGATACTCTGCAAGACAAAAGTTTTAATAATTAAACATGACCTTACTTGAATCAGACCCCTCCATCACAATTTCAATGTAAAACTAACAAGGGAATCAGTGAACCTAATTTGACCAATCTGATGTTTACATAGTATTCGAAGGACATCTAGCTTGTTCTGTCTTGACATAGTCTGCATGTTCTACTCTACATTTGGACTTTTCAGTGGCTTAATGAACAGTAAACTGGTCTAGTCAACACCGAGCATAAATCAGAAGATCACTCCTCTTTCCAAGATGTCCAAGGCACACTAAAATAATTTAAAATTACTTACAATGTCCCAAGACAATCAATTCATTGCAACTTCCCTATTAAACGCTTTTTGGAAGAAAATGCAACTCTCATACATGCGAGGCTTTGGACTATTTGATCTGTCTCTCTAGGATGCTTTTTTTCCTGAAAATACTACTAAAAGTGTATTAAGATTGGAGCTTGAGATCTAAAATGACTGCTCAAAAAGCTGGATCTTTAAAAATTGTGAAGCAATACCCAGAAAATGTGAATACTGTATTTTACACAAAATAACCAATCCAGCCTTCACTAAGACTCTCTTCTAGTGAATTAATTTTAAAAACAGGTACTTTTTAAAAAGTGAAGCACAGAAGTCAGTATGCCACTGCTGATTAGCCAGATTGTGGCTGTTATGGGGCCGTCTAGAGGGAGGCGCCACCAAGCCCTTTTACCAGTCCTTGTACCCGTGGCCTGTGTTCCACAAGCGGACACTGGATTTCAGTGGGCAAAGGCTTAGCTGAACATTTTTCTCTGGAAAACGAAGTGATGGAACCCACAAGTGAAGCAATCTCTCTCTTAATAGAAAATGCTTCTTGTTTTTGCTTAACATTTTCTGCAGCAGACCTCACAAGCAAATAATAAAGACTTCTACTGACTCCTTTAACTTGTGCTTCAAAGTAAAAGTAGGGTGCAATTTATATAGCCTATGTACTGAATCCAACTGGACCATGTGAAATCTACTTCAATTCTAAAACTTACATCCACTTACATAAAGTGTATATAAGGCATTAAATGTAATTAAGGCATGTTACTCTATGTAACAGCAAAGACTTATCACAGTATGTAAGAAGTTACATTTCTAATTAATGCTAATCTGTACCATAACACTTCACTGAAAAACTGCAAAGTGCTTTCAACTATCAATTCAAAACAGCAGAGGTGAGGATCTGTCTTAAAGCATTCTTTAAGAGAAAAATTATTTTAGCTTTAACTTATTCCAGCATTCTGGTGATCAAGGACCAAAATTTCAACTGTACCACATATCTTCGTGGTCTTAAAAATACATTTAATCTATTTCTTAGCTTCTTTCAATTTCACTTTTTTTCCTTTGCACCAGGAATAAAACTCAGGACCTTGCACTTGCCAGGAAGGAGCTGTGTCACTGAGTTACATCCCCAGCACCTTAGCCTCTTTCAGAATTAAGCATGTTTCTCTTTGCTAACAGAGGTGTCAAATGTGTTTTTTAATAAAAGTTTCAAAAAGGAAAATATTCATGTCAAATAATTTTAAAATCAAACTGTTTTGCAACAAAGTAATTTGGTGGTTCCCAGTAGTAAATTTTCTTCAGTTATAGACATCTGATACTATCACTATTCTGCTTCTGAAAAGTCACATGAATAACCTTCAATAAAAAAATTACTTGAAAAGTCAAATTTAGACTTAAGAAGAAAAATAGCTCATGTTCTAAGAACTTCCTAAACAAACATTCAAATTCATTTTTTTCCTTTAAGTATTGATATAAGACTTCCGGATTCAGTGCTCTGTAGTGGAACAACCAGGAACTGCAGGGATTTCATATATACTCCACTTACAAATGCTCAAAAAGTTTTAGGTAGAACAAACACAAAGCATCATCAGTCGCCCCGCATTCTGCCTCTGCAGTGGTCACTGAATGTAAGCGCTTCATTGCCCTGCAGACACAATGCCATGAGCCAAGAGCTATGCTTCACGCTGAGCTGCCGCTGGCTGAGAATCCCCATACAGGCCATGGCCTTCTTGTTGTCCACCATGGATTCCTTTGGTGGGAGTGATGCCACTTTCCATTTCTTTGTGCTGTGATGGGGGTGTGATTCCTGAATGCAAATGTGAAGAGTCCACTGTTGAATGGTGACTAACATCCACCTTCGCTAAGAGTTCATAGTACAGCAAATAAAACACTGGTGTTATTATACCTACGACCAGCATTATCACCACGGCTGTCCACCACCCTATTCCCCAATCCGCTCCATAATAGGGATCCTTACATCTTGTGTTTTTGTTATCAGGTTCAAAACGGATCTGTTGCGTGCTCAGGGCGGACACTACCTCATTGAGGTTCTCCTTCTTGGTGTCTGTACACTTCACTATCTGTTCTATGTCTCGATCCACTTCTTTTAAGAAGCTACCAGCTGACTCACTGGAAGAAAGACAGTCATTTGCTGACAGGATTTCCTGTTGTTCAGGAGCATAATGGACAGGTGAAGGCCGAGAAGCCTGTCTTCCTTTTGGAGGATAAAGTGACTCAGTCAATGAACTGAACTTTTTAACTGGAATTTTGATAGCTCTAAGGGCAAAAAAGTCTTGATCGCTGATGAGATTATTAACTCTCTTGATATCTGCTACCTGTAAGAAAGAGGGAAACACAATATTCAACTGCATTCTAAATCAAATGAGAGGTAAAAATCATCATTCCTCCCTCTTACTTTTAGAAGGAAAAAGTGAGCTTGTTAGTATTAAATTACCATACTCAGAAAGTCACCAACTCTTTTTTGTAATCAGCCCTATGGTGCTAGTAACACTACTGCTCACTCTCTAAGTAGATTCTCGGATTCTGCGCTGCTTCCCTTTCTACCTCTGACAAAACCACACAGTCCTGCTGTGCTTGGAAGCACCGGGGGAAGGCGGGCTTCAGTCACTGTGTTCCTGGTCTGCCTTCCAACTGGCACACGGGCAAATAGTAACCAACTGAGAGTTTGTTATGTTATCAAAACTGTCATCAACTCTAATATGTATCGTTATTTCACCTACTTCTAAGAGGGAAAAAGCCCACCAAACATATGGAAGATGCCAAGGCTTTAACTTTGAAGATGTTAAAATGTGTGAAAAAATGCACCTTAGAATAAAATACAGTAATTTATTCCCTGTAATTTGTCTTCTGAAGCCAGATCCTTCCCCTGAACCACCAGTGTAATTATCCAGCAGCCTCCAAGGTCAGCCACAGATATGCTTTCCACACCTGCACATGCCTCCCTGTCTGCGTCCTCCGTCACTGTGATGAGGTAGAGGAGTGTTTCTTAGCTTAGCAATTACAGGCCAGGTTCCTTACCACCTCTAATTCACCAATCCCATTCGTTCTTTCCATCAGTGGCTTCATCAGCTCTGACTGTCAGAAAGGTATAGAGAGTTTAAGATGAACCTTAAGATTTCTGAGTTTGGGGGCTGGGGATTTAGCTCAGCGGCATAGTCACCTGCCTTGCAAGCAGGTGGTCGTGAGTTCAATCCCCCATACCAATTAAAAAAAAAAAAAAAAGAAAAGATTTCTGAGTTTGCTCAGCTCCATGCATGATGCCTCTGTGCCCCAAGATATAGAAAACTCCTGAGTCAGGAGGAGGAATGCAGATTTAACCACACTGGCAGTGAGGTCCTGAGATATGCAAGAGGAAGATGTCGGGATCCTCCAATTCACAGGCGAGGCCCTCCCGCCTTTCGCTTGATCACGTAAAACCTTACAGTACGAAGATTCTCCTCTACATGGGCCAGCTTCATCTCAGTCTGTGCTACTCACTGCGGAACTGAGAATAACCCGAGAATCAGGATCACTAGAAAGGCTGGCAGTAAGTGACAGAAAAGACCCTGAGGGATGTCAACACTTGAGGAATATGTTGAGTAAAAAGTTCCACAAAGGAGATCAAGAGAAGCCAACAGAGTGGCATTATGCCACACGGGCTGAAAGCAGGAGGGCGAGGTCTGAAGCACGATTCACTCACACTGTGTTAGCTGTGTGGCTGGGGAAAAGGTGTTCAACTCTCCGCCATTCAGCTTCCATGCCAGCAAGATGTCAGTAACAATACTACCTAGCTCATCCCATCAGGGTGAGTACTAATGAATTAAAATGACTGCAGAACAAAGAATGGTGATCTGCAGCATGCCATAAAAGCATTAGTTGTTATTGTACATTAATAGGAAAATCAGAAAAGGGCAGAGTATAGGATATCAAGTAAAGAGAGTTTGCAAGAACTGGTGATGAGATCAAGTGTAGATTAGTGATCAATGAAGAGCAGAGTACTGGAAAATTCTCTTGCAGTGTTATGTGTGAAGGCGTAGAAGAGAACTGAAATATTATCTAGCGAGATGAGACAGTACAGACAAAAGGCTATTTGTCAGAAGATTCATTGACAATCGCCAACGCTTAAACTCATTCTCTTTAATGCTCTTTTGCTTGGTATTGTATTTTTGCTGGCAATTACTCAACACTGTCTCAACCAGGCTTCCAAGGGTTAGCTCCCACACCCTGTTTGCTGATTTCCTCGGTTACATGTTGGATTCCAACTCTGCATTTCTGATTCCTGTCATCACTTTTATAATGGGCTTATTTTAATAATTCTTAAGACCATAAGTGGACTATAAGTGTTATCACTTTGGTGCATTTCTTTCCGTAGCTTTGTCTGTTCCTATAAATATTTACATACATTTATAGATAAGATTCTACATATTTTTTCTGGATAATTATTGTAGTTATTCACAATTTACCAAAACAAATATATTACCTATTTTTATTTTTAAATGTAATAGAATATTTTAGTGATGAGATTAGATGAACTGGGTAGTTGTTCTCAAATGTGCTTATATATGGCAACACCATTCCTGTTGTTACTCAATTAGAAAATATCTAATTTCAGTGTTTGGTGCAAATACATGTGAATGTTTTTAAAAATGTACAATCACTGAGAAATTAATGGCTGAATATGTCTTAGATCAGAAAGGCAAGGCCAGAAAGAGAGCAGAGACCTAAGAGGGAGGTGCAGTAGCTTTGTTAGAGACTGACTTAGTAAGGTCCCTTTAATACACCTGGCAAATACTCTTAAGAAATTTAAAGTGCCATTTTTATGGTTAAAAAAGGTGGTAAGTTCAGTGAAGTAGAGAAAGTGTTTGGGACATGTGACCATCGTTTGGTGGTTTCATGAAGGAAAATAGCAGACGGTGGAAGGAGTTCAATAGTGTTTCTGAAATGGGTGGCACAGACTGACTAGAGCCAGGCGCTTCGTGGCAGCTGAAGCAGAGTCTGTTCCGCATAATAGAAGGACCTCACTGCCAAGTTTAACTCCAGCAGACAGTCACAGAGCCTAGCTTGTGAACTGGAGAAATGGCTGGAATCCTTCAAATGAAGCTGAGGAGGATAGTACTAAAATACATGTGAGAGAGCAGAGGCTGACAGAAAGTGATTTGGGGAAAATCACTGGTACTTAGCTGACTCATGATTTGGAAGGAAGAAGGATGAAAACTAGTCAGCTTAGTAAAGGAGGATGGGACTGGCCTTAGTTGGTGGGAAAGTTGATACAACAGAAGGGGGATTAGCATAAGAGGCTCCTTTTTGATGGGAGGTCAACTGGCAGTTGATGATTAACCTTACAAAAAGGACTTGTCATCACTTGACAAATACAGTAAATAGTGCTGTACTCCACCTATAGTCTTAAGAATTATTAAAATAAGCCCATTATAAAAGTGATGACACAAATCAGAAACGCAGAGTTGGAATACAATATGTAACCAAGGAAATCAGCAAGGAATCAGGTCAGAGAAACACTTTTCCTTATATATTTTTACATTTTCTTACTATATGAATAAGAATATTTGGGTATTTTTCAATACTGAAGGTAGTAGATTCAGAGATAAACAGAAACTGAAATATTTACTTAAAATGTCAAAAATTAACATCCATTAAAATCATAATAGATTTCTATGTAGAAGGGGGAAAAGCAAAAAAAAGAGAAAATAGGAAATTAACAAGATGAAACCACATGGAATTTATTTCAATTTGGGTTGGGGTAATAAACAAATGATTCATTCTGGACTGTATTATGTAAAACTAAATTAAAACTTACCGTACAACAGTACTGAAGGGCTATTGCGTTTAAAGTGTCTCCTTCCTGTATGTCTTTTGTTAATAAGATAATGTCGTCAAGTCTATCTCTTGATGTACTTGTTCGGATTTTCTCTTTTCCTCTGGATCGAAGCTCGTATACTTCAGCATCCTCCTCCAAAATATCACTGTCTGCACAATTTCCAAAAGCATGTACTTGACCACTAGACTGTACTCCAGGGAGGGGGAAACTGCGATTCTGATGCCTTCCTGCCATAATGTTAAAATCTGAAGGGGAAAAAAAACAGAACACTTTGGCATTTAGCTGATTCATTAAACTGATACATGCATCATATACAATTTAAATAATGCTTTATTTAAAAGTTTAGGCTTCAAAACACCGAAGTACAACAAACATTTTGCAAGGGACACCATGGCACAAGAGAAAGAGGTACTTTAACACACAATGTCACAAAACACAGTGACATCTTAACTAGACACGCTGCCATGTTTTATTAGGTCGAAAATTAAGTTCCACTTATTCTGAGAACATGATGAAACTAGTAAAAAATTGCTCTGGGTATCTTAAAACCCTTTCCCACACCACTAACTTATGGTCCTGATGGTCTCAATGGATTTAAAGTATGTTTTATATACAGGTAGAGAATATTTTCATGAAACTTCCCTGCTTGCTCTGCGTTGTAAACTCAGAGGGAGTTTACAATGGGACTAAAGCATCACTGCACTATTTACCTCTTAGTCACAGTTTCTCTTTAGTGTAATATGTTACTTCTTCTTTATAGGTCACAATTTTACTCTTGGCCAAAAAGTTTTCTTCCCCTGAAAGCTTTTCATCTAAATTAAGACTCCTCATCAGATTCAACTGTGAACAGATTTTGACTATTAATGCTTTAGCAAAAACACCATGAGATGGAGTGAAAGCTGGCTTAATTTAAAAACAGGTATCAATGAACACTTCTTGCTTATTTGCATACTTACCCGCAACACCTTCAAGTCAATCTATTGTTATAAAACAAATGCAAGAACCTCAAATTCTAACTGTGTTCAATAAAAATGACAGCTTGCTTTCAGTTATTATTGTAAAAAGTGGAAAGTGTAAGACACATTTTGGTGATAAATAATTGAAACTTTAGTGTAGTTCAGATAGGAGAAAAGAGAAGCTAAAGAGCCCGCAAAGATTTCTGAATTGTGTAGCTGAGTAAAAGGTGGTGCTATTCTCTAAGACATGGAACTTGGGACGGGAGCGTGGCTACATTAAAGAATTTCCTCAGCTGGCAGAAAGGACTGTCCAGGAGACAAGGGAGCTACACATATACAGTGACATCCAGAGGAAAGGTCTGGGTTAAAAACATAATGTCATAAATATATATATATATACTAATCTGCACCAAGGTTAAACTGAAGCTGTGAGAGTACAGAAGAGATTACCCAGTCACTAGATAAACACCTGTCACTGAATCTTAGTCTGGAGTAAGGAAAAAGGCCCCAAGATTGAGACTTAAGGAATGTCAAATTTTAGCACCTGGGTGAAGATACTGAAATCAGCCTGCAAGGATGGAACGTCTGTTCAGAGGAGGAAGCCAAAGAAGTGAAATGCTGTTCTGAGGACACCTCAATTCTGTCTTGAATGCTATGGATGAGTACCAAGTGGAAAGGGGAAGGAAGAAAATCTGAAAAAACACAAAGTCTGAATTTCTAAAACTGATGAAAACAGATTATTTTCTCTGCGTAGGCCCATCTTATAACATGTTTCCAAACTACTTCATGTAATTGAATCCAATTCTAAAAAGCTACTTTCAAATCATGCTCTATGGCCACACTGTAATGCTTTAAAAATTCAAGAGATATTAGTATAGTAATTTGTTAATAATTGAATAATTTTTTTCTTTAAAAATTCAAGAGATATTAGTATAGTAATTAACAGTTACATATTAAGGAGATTATTCAACTGTTCCCAGAAGTTCTACAGTATTTATTACCAATAAGTACAGTTACTCTACTAACTTGGCATTCATTGAACTAAAGAAGGCTATCAGATGTCACATCTCTAAAGCAATTCTGAAGTCATGATCACAGCTATTCCTTCAAGGCTGTTTTATTTCCACTTACTTGACCAAGTCATTTTTAGCCTACAATCTGGGCCACTGGTGTCAAACCTATGGCACCCATGGTGCACAAGGCTGTTTGTATCACTGAAAGTTCTAAAAGGTTCACCATCACTTATCTGGAGAGTGTTTGTGAGTTCTGTGCATTATAGGCAAATTTTATACACATGCTCACTTTTCTATCAAGAATATGTTTCATACTATCAAAAGGCATCCATGCTAAAAAAAAATTGCGACTCACATCAGAAATTCATACAAGGTTACAATGACCCAGTTATGCTGCTCCTTTAGACTTTTTCTGATATCGTATTCTTAGAACGTCAGAACTAGTTTAATTCAGTTGACATTTTGTGATACCCTACAGGCATTCAGACATGGATTCGAATCTCTCTCTTTCCAAGCTCTGTTGCTAATATTTAAAACCTCACCTGTATCACTCTTTCCACTCTCCTCTGACATGAAATGCAGGTAGTGGAATACCATAAACTGGCTATTTCTATCTGAATAATCAAGAAGTAATTGTAATCAATGAGAACGCTAGACTTTGGCCCAGGCAGCTAATTACCTGAGCAAACTACCTAGTGGTTAGGAAGTACAAGGCAGTATTCTGGTCCTCTGGCTCAGTGTTCTTGATCTCTCTAATTCTATGGACTGGGAAAAGATACGGACCCCTTCTCAGAGAATTAGAAAAAGCCTGTCTGCTAAACTGATTACTAGTGGCCCCCAAAAGTTATCATCGGTGAAATAAGGTGATGCAACTCTCATTAGCTGGCGAGCCTGTACCTCCAAGTGGTTCTCCAGACACCCTAGGAGCACACGCGCAAAGAATGCTCCTGGGATCGCCCCGCGCGGAGGCAGGGCTGAGGGAAAGAACCAGAGCCCAGCGGCTTCACACTGGGACAGAGCCCCAGAAGCCGGATCAAACAGGCCACTTTTGCTTTTTAGAAAAAGCATCACTCTCTCTTCATTCCTCAAGCCCAGTTCTTGCTTTTTTCTTTCCCTGCTATCTCCAGCAACGATTAAATCTCAAAATTTTTGGTTCCCAGTATTACACTTGGACAACGCGACGGGAGAAGCGGATCGCGAGTATCCACGGCAACCCAAGGCTGGGGTGGCGGGGCGGGGTTCCAGGAACCCCGCAGATGAGAGACTCATTCCCCGAGCCTCCGCTCCCCCACCCAGCGTGACACGGAGTTCGGACCGGCTCCGACGGTCTTGCTGGTTCCCCGGGTTGTCCGGGTCGCGGAACCGGCCCGAGCCCCGCCACCGCTGCCGCCGCCGCCGGGCCTCACCTCGCGCGGAACCCGAAGCTGCATCCAACCCCGCCGGCCCAGACCCGCACACCGCACCTCGCGCCGCCATTTCCACCTGGCCCGTTAGCGGGGAAAACGCAGCGAGGGCACGGATACTAGATCCGTTGCGGTCGCCGCCGACCCCAATGACTTCATGACCCAGACTCTGTTCCGGGCAGCCCGGGTGCACCGCCGGCTACGTCTCCGCCCTCTGGACGGTACGCCGCCGCCACGTCCGCAAACCTGCGGTGCGTCAGCGCGTCAAATGGGCGGTGGTGGGCGGGGCGGGGGAGGAGGGGGGGCGGTGCACGAGGGTGAGCCAGGATCCCGGGCAGCCAACCACAGGCCCAGCCTGGCGCGCAGGCGCCTGGAAGCTGCTGGACCCAGGGGGCGGGCCCTGAAGTACAACCCCGCCCATTGGCTCCCAGTCCCGCCCTCAGCCCCGCCTCCTCAGCCCCAGGGGAATGGCTGAGAGCTTCAGGTTCGCTTGCTAACCCTGCGGTCCCTAGCGGCCAAGACTGTACCCTACAAATACCCTGCAGAGAGAGCGTCCCGAGGATCCGTGGGACAGCTATTGTGCATATCTTTCTTTGGGAGTTTTCTTTTGGCAGAGGGAGAGCGCCCCAAAAGCGCAGCGTCCGCAGGCCTGGTGTAGAAAGTGCCCCGCCCCTGCGGGAGGGTGTGCACTGCTGTGGTCCTGGAGCTCTGCGGGGTGGGGTTCGCTCTTGGTGATCCAGGGAGAGGGAAGTTTGCCGCCTGCAGCCAGGCTGCGGAAGTGAGAACTGTGTGTCTGAAGTGCTTTCTTGGGCTCTTAGGGGATGAGGTTGTCAACTAATTGTAACGGAACGTATTTTGATTTGAAAATTAACTGAAGGCATTGATGGTCATAGTGGAGTCGTTACCATATTAGTTTCTGAAATAACGCCTTCATATATAGTTTTTTTCTCACAAATCTGCTAAATGAGTATGATCAAATGTTTGAATTTATAGCAGTGAATGGAAAGCATTCTAAGAATGAATCTGTTGACATTACAGGCATTGCACTTGGGTGACCCTGCTCTTTTTACAAGGTCTAGTTTAGGGACAAATAGCCCGGATGCAGGGTGCAGAGCCTTTTTGTTAATAATATGTCATGAAGCCTTAGAAACTTTGTTCTAAATTGTTTTCAAATGGTCTGTTTTTGCTTAAGAGACTCCTCGGTGAAGGTTAGGAATCTTCTTGCTCGGCAAGATTAGTCTTTTATTTGAGGGGATAGGCACTGTGCTCCACAATGCTACAAAAAGCTGCAGAAGGCTAAAGAAATAAAACTCATCGGAGCTGTTCTGTGTGCCGTTGACCTGGTGACACTCCTCTCTGTAACCATTTATCGTTGAGACATTTTCTCATCAGTAGACAAAAGATATATTCCCCACTTGATGTGTAGGGCTTCAGCTGCTCAGCCTCATGAATGTTAATAGGAATACCACCTTCTTTCCACATATAGGTTACTTTTCTTATTTTAATGTCAATAGGCAGTGGAATCCTTGTGAGAGCCTGAGTGATGAAGTTTCCAGCTTCTGCATGACTGCTACCTGTATCTTTTATGCATATTTTCTTCATGATGCTTGCATGCTCTGATATCATTATTTGTATTTCACAAAACTCAGTAATTGAAATTCTTGCCAAAAGGCCATAAAATTATATTTTATTATTAGACTATGCAAAGGAAGCAACTAGCCATGAACTTTGGCAGAGTTCCAAAAAGCTGGCCAGCGGGAACAACTACTTGGTCTTTGAGAAAAAGGATGTTCCTAATGCTCAGCAAAGTTGAAGGGAGTTTTACTTTTTTGAGAGCTGGTCTGACAGTTTGTTGTTGTTGTTTTTAGCAGGAATTGAACTCAGGACCTTGCACTCGCCAAACAGATGCTGTGCTACAATTTTAATTAAAAAGCTGTAGATGAGAGACTATTTAGATTATAGAAACATGTGGGGTTTTTTTTTTTTTAACCACTAATGGTTGGTTTTGTGTTGCCCCAGAGTAAAAGCTAGGGAAGGGGTATAAATTGATGCAATCTGTTTGGAATACAGTATCTATGAAAGTTAGAAATGCAATGGATTGAAATTTTACATTGCTAAGCAATTACCTTGCATTCACATATACACGTGTCCGAGATTTAACAGATTATTCAGGAATATTTATTACAATAACAGCAAAAGGAAACATTCTAAATGTTCATCCACAGCCAAATCTGCTATTGTTAAGACAATGCAGTATTATATTTTGGATCAAAAGAATGTTTTTATTTGGTGATTTATTTATTCACTTATTTAAGACATTTTGTTGAAAGAAGTGTATAAGTAAGATCATCATATTGCTTAGAGAAACAGTGTCCTAGCTATGGAGTTTGTAGACTATAGGCACAGAGAAAGAGCTAAACATAAACTTCAAAAAGTAAATTACCATATAGGAGATACGATATTTTCCTGTTGGAATAAAATATTAAATTTTATTCTCCCACCCCCACTTATGTCTATGCAGGGAGTTGTATTTTTGCAGAATAAAAAGTTACTCAAGGAATATTTAACAGTGGCTGTAAAAAACTAGATGTGGCAGGATGGTAGGCAGATGTTTCCATTTAAGTATTTCAATATAGATTAAATTTGGATCACTGCATGCTTTCCTTATGGTTAAAAATATTGAGTGAACACATTTTATTTTTTAATAACCGGGCTTGTTTTTTCCAGAGCTGACCACCTCTTTGTCATTCCTGAGTCTGTTTGTACTTTGTATTCCAGTAGTGAACGCCTGGAAGAAAGATGCAGATCAGTTCCCTTAGAAATAAAAAAATGAAAGGAAAACAGAACTTGAGTTCTTTTTACATTTCTTCTTGACACCCTCTGATTTCTTCTAGTCCTCTTGTTTTGCTTTCTAGCCCTTCTTCTGTCCTCTTATTAGCCTTTCCCCCCCCCCCCACATTCTATTTTCCAGAAGCAAACCTAGAAAACACTGTTGTACTTCAAGGAATTACTTACAGTAACTTGAAGTGAATTTATAATGGAATTACCAGGTGAGCTTTGAAAAAATTTTCCCCATCCTTCAAATATCTACCTATAGAGAGAAATATTGTGTGTACTCTAGAAGTCTCAGGAAAATAGACTAAATGATGTAGAAATATGTTCTACTAGCAGAGGTATTAGATGAACTCCCTGCTTTCACCGTGTGTTGTTAATAATGGTGATTATTTCAATCCCAGCCTTTCCATAATGTGGATAAAAGGGAGGGTCCAATATACCTTAGGAATCTAGAGTTGCTTATAGATGCTAGTTCTTCATTCAGAGATATTAAATATCATATGAAAATGACAATTTTCCATGACTTCATCAATGCATATTTTATCTGAATGAAAACTGGCCTTATATGCCTTATTATAAATTCCTTAGCTGCGCCATTAGTGCATGTAAAAGGGAATGGTTACATGCCTATAATTAAGTAGGGTGTAACTCAAAACACTTTGCTTCACACAGTCTGTACCATATGGTGACCACTGAGGCAAACTGGTGCAGATGAATGTGTCCTGAGATGGCAGCCTGCTTGTGGTTCTGCCTCCTCATCCAAATACCCAAGTGGATCACACAGAATCAGTCAAGTCCACTACACTGAAAAAGATGAGACATGACCAAGTTGTGGAACTAGATGATCACACAGAAGTGAAAACAAGGTAGCTCTCTAGTTAATTCATAGGTCTTCAATCATATACTCAGTCAGGAAAGTCAGGAATGGAGGAGCACATCAGGAGAATTACAGGAGTGACAGCACCTTCTTACTCTGTTCCGGGTGTTTCTAGGCAGAGACCACTTCTGTGATGGTCTTCAGCTCAGCCAACAGTCTCTGAAAAGCCAAGCAAATGTTGAAAAACAGTTTCCTTGCCTATATGAAAAATCACAGAATAGTGAGGTGTCCATACCTCAACTGAAGGCAGTATTTATCTGACAAAATATAGACAGTGTTGACACCTGTTCAGTGGTTAAATAGTAAGCAGCTGTAGGCTCAGGGACGTGTGTGAATCCTTGGTCCAAATCATTGATTTGTGGAGCTTCCATTCTTGGGGTGAAGGACAGATAGAATTCCATAAGTGAATGAAACACCGATGTGTTAGATGTTGGTAGCAGATGAATGAAAAGTAAGGGAGGACAGGAGGTCTGGGACAGCCATGGAGGCTATGGCAGGGGCTTAGGCTTGCACTCTGGGCAAGACAGAGATCTGTGGAAGGGTTGAGCGAGGAGGACATAATCCACCTCTTCACGGGTCCCTTGGAGGGTTAGAATGGGAGCTGCAAGGTGGCTTAGGAGTCAGCCAGGGGAAGAACTTGGGCAAGGGGAAGGTGACACTGAATATCACACTGATGTGGGTTAAAAACATCTGATTTGCAAATAGGTTTTCAACACATCCAATTCCACAAAGATACTAAGTTTTGTTTTGTTTTGTTTTGTTTCATGGACTGCGGGTGTAACACTTGCTTAGTGTACATGAGGCCCCCAATGTGATCTCCAGCACTCTACACAAAGCTAAACAAAACCAAGCTTTTCATCACTTCTTTCTTGCATACGTGGATAGGGTCCACTCCATACATAGGGTCTCCTTTCCCCATTCATTGTAAATAAGAGGGATTTACTGCTCAGCAATTGTTGGAACTGTTTCCCTTCTCCTTTCTTGCTCTGTTTTCTTTCATTTACAGTTTAGGTTGAGCTGAACTTTTTTCCTTCTTCCCAAGCTTTAATCCTGTCTAGCTTCTAAATCCCTTGAGAATTATTTGCAGCAAAGAATGCCAGCTAGTTTCAAAGAATGCTTCGCACTTGAATGCACTCAGTGAAGTAGAAGCTAGAGGAGTGTCCCTTCCCTCCTGGCGGATCTGGCAAGATGTGCTGATATGTGAGCCGTTATGGAAAAAAT